TCATCTGAGGTTGGGAAATCAAACAGTCGGCCATGGTGAAGCCTGAGATGCTCAATTCATCTCAATTCTCCTGTAGGAGATTCACTTGATAAAGATTTCCCTGGGTACAGCTAAAACCCTTTATCTGAGGTTGGGAAATCAAACAGTCGGCCATGGTGAAGCCTGAGATGCTCAATTCATCTCAATTCTCCTGTAGGAGATTCACTTGATAAAGATTTCCCTGGGTACAGCTAAAAACCATCATCTGAGGTTGGGGCATGAAACAGTCGGCCATGGTGAAGCCTGAGATGCTCAATTCATCTCAATTCTCCTGTGGGAGATTCACTTGATAAAGATTTCCCTGGGTACAGCTAAAAACCATCATCTGAGGTTGGGGCATGAAACGGTCGGCCATGGATTTCCTGGGGACCGCTCAGGCCCAGTGTCATAGCACTCATGACTATCATGGTGCAACATCATTCGCTCGCAGATCCACATGATTTATTATTTCTGGATTCACGCGTTCTCCAAGGTCAAGGGAATGCACCTAGAAAAAAAGGGATAAAAAAGACAGATCATCACCCGAAGAGAAACTAAAGTCATGCCCTGAACCCCAATCAGTCACTCCAGTCAGTCCTCCAAGTCTCTCATCATGTGGCGGCCAAGGGAACTGGTTGAGATCAAATGATCAAAAGGCGGAAGGCGGGCGACCCTGGAAAAAATGGAAAAAAATAAAAAATGTCCGAAAGGAACGGCCAGTATATATCAATATATGGGAAAATAAAACATGTTCCAAACCACCAACCAGTTATGCATGACGTATCCATTGATATTCCCGAATTCTTGATGCTTAAAATCGTAGTCATTTCTCTGCGGATGCAATACCCTGAGCCCGTCCCATTTCGGGGTCAGGATTCCTGGCCATACAATACTGAATGATATTTAAGTGATATCACTATATCATGACTATACAAATGGATATATACGGGCTATCTACTGATATGCCGTAGTAATATGTAGTAATACCATTTTGGCACATATAATTAAGCTAGCAGCAGCTGGCAGCTATCATGTACCGTTTTTGTATTGGCTGTGAGAAGTGGAGGGTTCAGCCCTGGGTTTCCGCACGTTCATGGCCTCATCCAATTTCTGAACCTCAGGTGGTTTTTTCTCGGCCAGGCCAAGACCTTTCAAGCCACTGAACACTCAACAAATGAACCAGTTGATTCACTTACAATCAGTTCATGCACATAACTTTTGGCCACTCACATTCCTTATCTCATCTAAGTTCCATGCATCAGCCATGAAATTCGCATCCCTTTATCATACAATCATCACCATCACCGTGTGCCTGATCTATTTAAAACCGGACTGCCGAGGTTTACGATGGAAAATCATGGAATTGATGGAGGAACAGCATTTTATCTTTATCATTCTTTGATATGTTTTGCCTTTGATTTTTGAGCAACCCAAACATTCCAAATTTAAGCTGCATAGATTCAATCTTTCCTACAGGAGTTGAGATTCTATGCCAAAAATGTGAGCAACATGCTGAGGCCCGGTGCCAACATGGCACATCATCATGAGTATCATGCCACAATGCTACAACTCCAGCGGCCCCCCAAAAAATAACTCAAAACACACAAACGCACACAAACACAGACACACAGACACACAGACACACAGACACACACACACACACGCACACGCACACGGACACGGACACGCACACGAAACATTATAGCAGAATGTGTGAAACGACAGGCACCCCCAAGTTTTTTATGATGTCCCCAGGTCCTGTGGTTCGCTATTTTCGCCAAGGAACTCCAAGCTGCTCATCTGGCACTGCCTGGGAGATTTAGGAGGGATCGTCTCAGGAACAACGTGGGGAAAGCAACGTTGTAGGATGTCTCAGGAACTATCCCCCATTTTACTACCATGGTAGGTTTATGATAAAACAATTGAAACCATTGGCCAAATTAGCGTCTCAAAACTGGAAGATTTCTCTCCAGTGATTTAAGTGGAAAACTACTGGGGCTGCAATCAGCTAGTCTAAGTGGCCAATGCACTTGACAATGAGCGCCTGCGAAATGATCAATTCGATCTACAAACACAGGGAAAAAAACAAACCACATCCCCATCATATTCAAATCGTGGAGATCTTTGGTGTTTGAAGCTTAGCATATTGATGGGTTGAAAGATGAATATCAGCTAAGTTTATGAATAATTAATACGTTACTTTCTCTCTTCATAAATTATTAGCCTATATTGATGCAACTTGATTGGCATGGGTTGAACAATGCCTCTGCGCATCTTCCAATCCATGCCCAAGACTTACGCTCAGAAGTTTGGCTTTAACCGCTTTCCGTTGGGAATTCCGTGACTTGAAAACAACACCCTTGTCTCAGGCATGTTTTGTTGGGTTGTGGCTTAAATGAACACGCTAGTAGTTGAAACGGCTGCGCAAGAATATGCGCAGTAGGCGTCAATAAAATCAATAAGTAAATCATAGTAAATCGATAAGCAGTTTGCATCCAACATCAATCAGCCACCTCACAAAAAAAAAACACACACACAGAATTGGATGATGGGAACATTGAATCCGGAAGCCCCTATAGAATTGATGGTTGAAACCATGGTTTCCGGTTAATTTTTTCCCAACACAACCAATCCATTGACATCCCGACCCAGTTGAGCATTGGACCACACCACCTGACCACGAGATGCTGTTCGCCGGCTGTATCGTCATCACCTGTAGACCACCCTGCCCCACGCGCATTTTTAACCAGCCTTGGAGTCTGATGAGTTTGATGAGTTTGATGATGATGATGATGATGATGGTGAGGATGATGATGATGGTGGGGATGATGATGATGATGGTGGTGATGATGATGATGATAGTGAGGATGATGAGGATGATGATGATGGTGAGGATGAGGAGGATGATGATGAGGATGAGGATGAGGATGATGATGATGATGGTGATGATGGTGAGGATGATGATGATGATGATGATGGTGAGGATGATGATGATGGTGATGAGGATGATGAGGATGAGGATGATGAGGATGAGGATGATGATGATGATGGTGGTGATGATGATGATGATGGTGAGGATGATGAGGATGATGATGATGGTGAGGATGAGGAGGATGATGATGAGGATGAGGATGAGGATGATGATGATGATGGTGATGATGGTGAGGATGATGATGGTGAGGGTGAGGATGATGATGATGATGATGATGAGGAGGATGATGAGGATGGTGAGGATGATGATGATGATGATGGTGAGGATGATGATGATGATGAGGATGATGATGATGATGGTGGTGGTGGTGATGATGGTGAGGATGAGGATGATGAGGATGAGGATGATGAGGATGATGATGATGATGAGGAGGATGATGAGGATGATGAGGATCATGAGGATGATGAGGATGATGAGGATGATGAGGTTGATGAGGTTGATGAGGATGATGAGGATGACGAGGATGACGAGGATGTAGGTGCTGAATGGTGTTGAATGGTGTTGAATGGTGTTGAATGGTGTTGAATGGTGTTGAATGGTATTGAGGGTGATGTTTGTGGCACAAAGGCTTTGAAGATAAAGTGAGCATGATGAGGGAAGTATCACGAGAAAATGTGCGATTCACCATGTTAAAATTCTGGTTGGTGGTTTCAACCCATTCCAAACCAGTTGCGAACGTCGGTAGGTAATCACCATCCCATATAGTGATAATTTTGAAAACAAACACCACAGGCAAAGGTGAATTGCAAGCATAAACAACTAAATAACAATCATATAGTAATGCATCCTAGTACTTATCTCTCCTCTGATACTTACTGCTCTTGTCATTGTTGTCATGTCTCTCTCTCTCTCTCTCTCCCTCTCTCCATCGCCTTCAGGTCTCCCTGCCCGAGCTGTGCTGGGGGCGTTGTCATGTTATTGTGTAATTCTATTTATGGTTCATTGATACTATCATGTTGCGCATATCTATCCATCTATCTGTCTATCTATCTATCTATCTACCTATCTATCTATCTACCTCTGCCAAATTCTGCCAATATGTCAAATAGATTCTAATACGAGTAGTGATGTCAGGACCATCTGGTGATTTCAAGGACCCCCCACTCCCACTGGGCAATGGGAAACAGCGCTCTTCGGCTCTTCGGCTCCGACCTCCACTGAGTTCTCTTCGTGGCACCGCTTGAAGTTCAAAAGATTGACCAACTTAGGGTATCTAATGTCAACCCCGGATTAATAAACCATAGTTTATTAACTAGGGGGTACTTCACCAATAGTCATAATCTGATACTTAAATGGTACCCCCCCAATTAAACAGCCTAAGGGTTTATTAATCCAGGGTTGACATTAATCTACATGTACCTTTAGTATCTTTAGTATTATATAATGTTATATAACCCACAAACTGATACAAACTGTAGATACTGTAGAATGTTAGTATACAACAATTTGAGTTATATAACTATATATATATAATATATTGCTAATGTCATGTATCATACTTGGGGCTGAGGTACATCCCGGCGAGTCATTACCCACTGGTATCGTAAACTCCGGTAGTTCGGATCTTGGTATCCATGGTTTTATTGGGCTGGGCTGCCTGAAAACCCTGTGAAAAGTAGCAGCCCATCATTGATGGCCCAAGCAAGTTATAGGTTTGGTCGTGCATCTCTCTCTCTCTCTCTTGGTGTCTGGGTTAAACAGCAACAAGTGGAGTGGAACACAACCATTTACCCAACCTCATGCCCCCTTCAAACACAGGGGAACTCTTACTTCCCAACCAACACTCTCAGATTCCCCCTCGGCTGCGTGCAAATGGTCAGTTTTTTCTTCTTCGATCCTCTTGAACCGCTACTCCACGGCACGAGTTCGAGCTGACGAAAAAATGATTTAGCTTTCAGAGCTGTTGGGCTTAGAGGGCCGCACTGGATGAGATAGATCAAAAAGCATTGTGGGTAGGCACCCGCACCAAGCATAAGTGGTGCCCGTGGGCTCAGAAGCCCTCAGCCAACTGGACCTTCTCGAACTGCTTCCTTGGAGATGAAAACTACAGCAAGGCAAACTGCAGAACAACCTAAGGACCCAAGGCTTGTGAGGTCCATTAGCGGCCTCAAAACACCGGAAATTCACAGAAAATCAATTGCACAAGTTTGGCTAGGCATCTTCTTCAACACGAAGCTCAGCTGGGCAATGAAGCAGGAGAAGGCAAAGGCGCAGAAGGCGTAGACACGGTTCATGTCCTGCAGGATGCACTCCTTCTCTTCCTGCGTGGTCCCCTCCACTCTGGAGCTTGGGTGACGGAAACTGGAGATTTTGGAGATTGGGAGCCGACCCAAACAAGTGCTGGATGACACACGTTTCCAAACTAGGCCTTCCAACTCTACCAACAATAATCAATATTCAAGCCTGGCAACGAGACTCCCAGAATCCACAAGGATAGCACACTGCACAACCAACCTTACGTGGGTATACTATATGCACCTTGCATATTGATTCTAATATCGCAAAATAGTACCAAAATAAACAGGAACATGCGGGAACCATGATAATGACAATACAATGATCATCAACATACAAACCAATGATATCACCAGCACATCACTGACAAAACATGTCAAGGATTCATCGAAAAGGCACCTGACCGAAGCCGCCCACGTTGGGGTTGGTGGTGAGGGGCTCATCCTTGGTCACCTCGTCACCCACCTGTCAGAGGGCCTTTTTTCAGTAACCCCTCCCAAAAATGCCACAAAGTGAGATACAGTAAATCATTTTGTTTAGTAGTAAGTTATTCTGTGCGATCTTATATTTGTTCCATCTTTTTGGGGATTGATGACATTGATGGCTTGAAAGATGCCATGATGTAGCCAGAGGATAGCCTCAGGAAAAACTCATCTCCTGGTGGAATGTATTGGATCATAAATTGGGGGGGCGATATGGTGGTATTTAAGATTAACGGGGATGGGATTATTAACATCGAAATGGAAAACAAAAGCGATGGTTTCTTCGAAAAAATATCGGGAAAAGGTTGCTTATACTTATATATATATACACACACTATAAAGAAACTAATATTAATGTACAGGAGAGTATGCAATAGAAGCCTGTTGGGGATGTGAGTGAGTGGCCCCGGGACAAGCTAGTCAGCTGGAAAACCACTCTGAGAACCAAACTGGAAGGTGCTAAAAGATGTCAAGAGACTTTTAACAGAGCAACTACTGAAGCCCTGGTGGAACCTGACTGCTCATTGAGCCGACTCAGCGCCTGAATATCAATAATCATAATAATCCATATGAAACTAAATGCGCCTAAATATTGGTGGATTCTAGTATATATAGTGATTTTGTGTCCATTCTTGGCACCATCAAGGTAACTTGAACGATTTTGCAGGCTGCGGGACCAATGATGCAGTTTGTCAAATGTCTCGTGAGAGAAATGACTCACCTCAAATAAATCGTACCATTCCTAACAACACGCCTCACAATCCAACTCGCCAATAATCAATCAATGGCCATTTCAGGTACCTAAATTAAAGGTACCTACCATATATAAGGCCAATGTAAGGCGTATGTCTGCAGTATGTAGGGGGATTGTCAACAGTAGCCCTGTTTCAATTTAGGGTCCTGAATTTCCCATTGAATCAAAAATAATCAACAAAGCTGGATCAAGTATCACCATTTCCAAACTGGAAATCCACATCAATCAGTCTTATTTTGGGGATGGTTTTGGAAAAATCCGTGGACCAACCGTCCCAGGTCTGTCGCCAGCATGGCGCAGGGCCGCCTGCACCATGATGTCAGCACCTGTCAGGCACTCCTGGGTCTTCACTTCGCCGGAAGGAGTGGTGATGCTCACCTGCCAGGCGCTGCCCAATGGATTGCCGGTGATGGGTCAAAGTTGGTGAAATTTGAATGCCCCGAGGCTCCAGGGCTTGGGGCGCCCAAAAAAGGAACCAAACTACCAGACCTACATAGGAAACGGTGGGAGCGTGATGCACCGCGACCAGCGGCCATCCCGTATCATCTTCTATAAGCCTCCTGGCGTGGATACAGTAAGTTTTGACATTGGACGAACCTCATGGGAGATTGCCTAGATGTGATTGTGGCCAACTATAATTAATAGATTCTGAGGATGTTCTATCATGCTCAGGAGGACTGAAAGTAGATACAACATCTGGAGGGTCCCAAGGTGGACTCCTCTTTAACTCCAAAGCTGAGCACAGGTCAAACCACCGTTGAAACATGACATATTCTCATGATTACTGCGAAAATCAGTCAGCATTCATTAATTTATATAGACATATGCAGTAACAGCCCAGTAACAGCTGAAGTACATGAACCTGTTGCAACCATCGTCGCATTTTGAGATAACCCAAAGCTTTCCCTTTTAGGCACAGGATGGGATGGCACAGATGAAGACATTGAGGCCTTCAAGCCATCGATGGCGGAGATGGTGCCAGTGGCAGATGCCAAGAACTGGTTGTTGTTGCTCTGATTGCCCTCAGGGTACACCTGCCATTTCTTGGCTCCCAGAAGTCAGGGGAACAGCAGAAAGGAAGCCCCTGTTATCTTATGTTCATGAAAACCGACGGGAACTCCGGGTTTCTGGCACATTTCTCACAACAAATCCGTTCGGTCATCAAAACCAGTCATAGAGCAGCGCCAGCCTGTCCACGACCGCGGTTGCCACCAAAGTAGAAGATGCCCTTACCGAAAATGACCTTGTCCTCATTTTCGGCACCCCTTTCATGGCCAATCTTGATTTTTTTGGGGGGGAGGGTTGGTTAGTATATACCCCCATGTACCCTTTGGTTATTTAACATAGCCATGGAAAATCATCACTTTTAATAGCTACATCATCTATATTTCTATGGGTGATTTTTTCCATAGCTATGTTAGTCATAACCAGAGGGTATATCCATTTATGACTTGGAGGTTGGACACAAATTCGCCATCCATTTATGTGACTCAGTTGACCGGGAGAATTTCTCCGATGGCACCCGATGCTTGGTCTCCACTTTCCAGATGTTTGGACTGTACGTTTCCCGCTTGGTCACCCATTTCAAAATCTCCTTCAAGTCAACCCCTCGAAATGGAACGTTATCACAAGATATCACAAGTAGAGAACTCAAGATACTCCAAACATTCATCGCCGAGCGGCGTTGGTGTTGGGATCCGGGGACAGCACTGGGAGCACCATCTTCTCATAAGTCTCACCTGGAAAACAAATGAAAACAAGCCATTCTTGGAATGATTGCTGCCAACAACTAGTTGTGGTGAGGTGAGGTCGCTCCTTTAGCTCCCTTTGGATCCCTTTGGCATTTCATTCCTTTCAGGGGCCAACGGCCCATTGATGGAACAACAGAAGAAAATATCGCAATTACTGTTCTGAAGGTGGTCGAGTGACTCAAGTTCCAAGTTCCAATACTGTAATTCTTCAGTAAATGGCTTCCCTGTGCTGTAACACTCGTCGCAGCTAAAAGACCAATCAAGGGATTGTGGAACACTGCGATGCCATACAGCCCTGCACTTCACAATGCAAACACAAGATTAACCCAAGTAAAAAATCGCCTTCAACAGTCACCATGGTAGCCCCCAATAATATAGAATATAGATGTTCAACTGTTCAATGATCAATCCATATCAATCCCTTTAACATCGCCTGGGACCGGTCCAGCCACCACGATGTTGGGATACTCCTGGCGCTGGGCTAGTGGTTCAGCCATCCCATGTCAAGAATGTTGGTCTACATCAGGATTGGCTGTGTCATCCCAAGTCTATAGAACTCTCTGCTTCAACAAGTATGGGGAAAGTCTCACTGAAGCCATTGGGTCTCCTTGCTGTAGGGAGCCCAGGCCAAGCCCTTCATCTCCTTCTTCAGAGGCTTGGGGAGACGGTCCTTGGGAGCCAACTTCCATCCCTCAGGCATCACGGCAATGGCGCCAATGTTCATGGGGCCCTTGGAGCCATCAGCAAGAGGCTGGCGGCGCTTGGCGTACTTGGCTGGCACCTCAACCTCCATCTTGAAGATGGTGTCGGGGAGCACTGCCTGAGGAAGCCTCACCTCAATGGGTTTGCTGGCCAAATGGCAATTGGCGCACACGATCTTCCCAGTGTACTCACGAGGGTTGGAATAGTTCTGCTGGGCAAAGATAGGGTACGCAACAGCTGCCTCCATGGAGCTGGTGAACAGCATGGCGGCAGAGGCACCGGCCAAAGCCTGCTTGGCAAAGGCCTGGATGCCCTCCATGTGCTGGTCAGTCTCCTCTGGGGTAGGAGCATCCACGCCGTTCAGCTGCGCTCGGCAGGCCACCAGGTGGTCGCGGTAGTAGGACCTCGGAACAACAAGGAAATTGTGGCACTATAAGAGCTGCATGTTGAAAATCTTCAGCTCCCTGTGATGCCCCAAAATCAACGAACGGCCGAACGCAACTCTCATCGCAAACTCCTCTATCTGTAAGTTGACTCCTGTTTCACCAAGCCGCTTCTCGTAGCTTCAACCCATACCCAACCAATGAGCATTGATCTGTCTATATGGGTACATTAAAAAATCTGGTATGTTACTGCGTATTTGTCGCAACGCATGGAACATCAATATCTTCAACGCATCCAGTTGGAAAAGGCCCCAGAACGCCCCTGATCTTCCCTGGCCCAAGTCGACATCTACCAAGCCACTCCCCCAAGTTGCCCACCAGGCTGGTCCCCGCCATGGATCGACGCTGCTTGCGAGTGCGGCGCACACCGGCCGCAGCTGCAAGGCCGCAGGCTGCTAAGCCAGCGCCTGCAGGGTGATCGGGTAAAAAACAAAAGGGCTGGCCCTGCAGTACATTTGTCCACATAGCAAGGTTCTTGCTGCAAGCTTCACTCTATGATTCACTCAATTGCTTGGGGATTTTCGAGCAAAGCCAATTGGCAAGGGGCAATGTTTTCTGTATGTTTTACCTGCAAGCGTCTCAAACGGCTCTCTCCCTCTCTCTCTCTCTCTGTGACATGTTTTCCCTCGTCAGGAATGATTCTGGTTGAAGAATCCTCGGGAAGTGGAATATGTCTGACTCCATGAAAGATGATGATCTTCACATTGAACAAATGTAAATTTGAAGGATCTCCACCAGTCCGTGTTTGCCTCTGGAGTCGTGAAAATCCTATAAGGAATGAGGAAATTTGGAGGCCTCTAATGCCTCTATAGATATTGTTGGTCCTCCATTGTCGCAGTCGAAGAAGCAAATAAGAAGATTTAAGAAGGTTTGTGTGAACATTTCATACCATGGTATACCGGCATGCCCTAAAAATAACGCAGAACACGCAATTAAGAACAATTATATAAGAATAGCAACTCTGATGGGAAAATACGGTTTCTCTATTTTCAGACACCCGCAAAAGTTTAAACTCCACAACTTCGCAACCTGGCCATGTCTTCCACCGGTTGGACCCGGCCTGTGCCAGAGAGTCCATGCTGAGTTGCTTGGGGTCGCGCGATCTGGTGGGTGGGCTGCGTCACTGTGCCAGTGGGGCTGGAGACCACGGTGAAGGCTGGGGCCAGGGCCATGGCTGATGGGAAGATTTTGGACCAAACTACCGTGCTGGGGAGCAAGCTGGTGACGCTGGTTGAGTCGGCAATTTCAAGCCACCCCAATGGCTCAGTCGCAGTTATGCAGGTGGTCAAAATACCCCCCCAAAAAAAACATCTAACGTTCACCAATCAGGGATCAGCCTTGGGCCCTCTTCCAATTTTTTCGAGGTACCCTGGTTACCAGTGTCTATGGCCTCCAGGCTGGCTGATGTCAGCAGATCCAAGCAGTTTTTCCCGCTGGCGCTACATGCGTCTTCGAAAAAATGCCACTTCAGAACGAAGCCGAGCTGAGCAATGAAGCAGGAGAAGGCAAAGGCGCAGAAGGCGTAGACGCGGTTCATGTCCTGCAGGATGCACTCCTTCTCCTCCTGGCTTTGGAACCATCGAGCACAGCACCAAGCAAGGTGAAACCTGTTTTGGGGTATTTTAGATTCTTGCTTCGGCAAAGTTACAGGCAGCAGGAAACTGCCATTTGGGTTGCCAGGTTTGAATAGCTGCAGCGGCAAAACAGCCAATTATCACCCCCACTTCGCCATGGATCCTGGAAAACCATTGGAACGGATGGAAAACCAACATAAACCACTAAAAAAACACATCAAACACCAACACCGCAATAAAAACAATGAAAAACCATCAAAAACCAGCAGCATCCAACACCTCTGGCCGCCCTGAAAGCCAAACAACTCTTGGGCATCGCCTTCCAACCCCCAGAATTTCCAACCAGACTCCTGGGTCTTCACCTCCCCCGAAGGCGTGGTGATATTCACCCAGGGAAAACCCAGAGAAAGCGCTGGAGGATCCTGGAGGATGAGAAGGCGTGAAAAGATGAAGTCCGACATGTCCAAAATGGCTTCGAAAATTTCGTTGGAATACCAAGCAAAAGGAATACCATCCTGCAATATCCTGTGCCCATTAAATAGTGTTTTATAATGTTTTATACTATTATGCTACTGTACACTGAAGGAGATAAGGATGGGCACACCCCGCCATCCAGGGTGCCAGCTGTGAAGTCTTGGAACCTTCAAACCATCGATGGCGGAGATGGTGCCGGTGGCGGATGCCAAGAACTGGTTGTTGTTGCTCTGGTTGCCCTCAGGATACACCTGCGGCCAGCAGTTGGTGTACTCGAGTAGCAGGTTTGGGCAGCCCAAACCTGCTACCTGAATACAGTTTCCCACGTGTGACAGCACAGGGAGCACCATCTTCTCATAGGTCTCACCTGGGATCGGATCACTTTCCTGACAAAAAAACATACAAAAACCAAGGCTCCATGAATCACTTGCCATTTCAGGTCATCCACTGAAGGACCTTGTAAACCGTAGCCATAGTTTCAAGGCATATCCCCATACATAGCCCTTACAAAGGCCTAAAAAAGGTAGGTACCTCGGTACCTCCAATAAATCGGTACCTGAAATGGCTGAATCTGGATCTCCGACCTGGCACGGGTCCGGCCACCACGATGTTCGGATATTCCTGGGGTGCCACGGGCATGCCGGGCGATGGTGCAGCCATGAGCCTCCACTCGAACCATCAATTTGGTTATCATCAGCATGGTCCTAAATTGTCTAAAACATATCACAAAGTCAATTCACAATGTCCTTATGAGGCGTCAAGAGTCATGGGACAAATGGTATACCAGTCGGGAAAAACACATTGCATCATAGCAGATCAAAGCCAGGATCATAGCTAGCATCATATGAGGCTCAAAACACTGACCCAACCCAACCGAAAAAAATCCTGAAGTCTCCTTGCTGTAGGGAGCCCAGGCCAAGCCCTTCATCTCCTTCTTCAGAGGTTTGGGGAGACGATCCTTGGGGGCCAACTTCCATCCCTCAGGCATCACGGCAATGGCGCCAATGTTCATGGGGCCCTTGGAGCCATCAGCAAGAGGCTGGCGGCGCTTGGCGTACTTGGCTGGCACCTCAACCTCCATCTTGAAGATGGTGTCGGGGAGCACTGCCTGAGGAAGCCTCACCTCAATGGGTTTGCTGGCCAAATGGCAATTGGCGCACACGATCTTCCCAGTGTACTCACGAGGGTTGGCATAGTTCTGCTGGGCAAAGATAGGGTACGCAACAGCTGTCTCCATGGAGCTGGTGAACAGCATGGCGGCAGAGGCACCGGCCAAAGCCTGCTTGGCAAAGGCCTGGATGCCGTCCATGTGCTGAAGGCGGTATAGTCGCAGTACTCTTCATAAGACCATAGTTGGTGGTCAACTCATACCCATGGGTTCTGTTCCTACCAAACCTGTCAAATTCTTCCCGATTCCATCCACTTTCGGGAGTTTTCGGGAATTTTCGTCATTGTCCAGTTACAGGACAATAGGCTATTCATGGGACATTAATATAGGAGATTGATAGTGACCATCCCCAGCTTGCACATCCCAAAGGCTCTCCAAAGTTGCCCGCCATGTTGACTCGGGAGCCGCGCGCACCGCACCGCCCTGCGCGACGCACGCCGGCTGCTGCAGCCATGCCACAGGCAGCCAAAGCTGCACCTGGCGCGGCCAGGGTTTGTCATCTGGTTGGAAGATTCATTTCAAGCCATGATGTCTTGGTCAGTTGAAAGTCACTTGGTCACTTGGGATCAGTTGGGATCAGTTGGGAGTCAGTTGAGATCATGTTTCTGAAATAGAGTTGAAAATAGAACAGATTTGAAACCACCAATCCATTCTATCAAACCCATCCAGAGGGGCCATGCACTTCCAGAGTCGACGACTCCAGGATCCACTTTTTTCGTTGCAAGTTGCAACTGTGATGGGTTGCTTTGATCTCTGAAAATGGATGGTTTGTAGATTCCATGACATATGGAGACCCAGGGGTCGGCTGTGCTCGGCACCGTGTGAAATTCCTAGACTCCAAAGCCCATGAACATGGATGAAATTCACGACAGCACAACACAACCTCTAGAAAAAGCCATCATGCCATGAATCCTGCATCACAAACCCATCATGTAGATCCACCCCACAATCTCCTAGTGGGAAAGAACCGAAGGGGCCGGTCTGGGATACGATCAATCATCACCTACAGTACCTACTAGTTGGAAAGGGGGTGGGTTATGTTCTTAAAAAAAAAAGGATCAACATGGATGGACCAACCAACTAGGTGATCCACTCAGCCAGCAAAGTCGCCATCTCAACCCCCTCATCTGCACCTGTGCCACTCACCCCATGGCCGGTCCCAGTGGTTCCCTGTGCTCTTGGGATCTGCTCCAGGGGCGTCACCACCGTTGGGGTCACCACGGTGAATGCTGGAGCACCCACCAGCGCCATGGTGGGAAACGAAGGGAGATGCTGGGGCAAGTGGAGCCAATCGAGCAGCTACCAGCTGCGAAAAGGTCTTGAACAGTGGGAGTTTGAAACTGTCAACGGATTGATGTGATGGAAAATAGGAAAAAGCTTCACCGGAACTAGATGGTCTTTAAGGTCTTCCCCCAAATCAAGGGTGTTCCTGTGTGTCTCCTTTGAACACTTTGGGAGCTGGGGCATGGCATGGCATGGCGAATGCATGGTATTTTTGAAAGTTGGGTGAAGGATCTTGTCAGATCGGAACATTTTGGGATACTTGGAAAATTATCCCAAAACCCCCAAAACCTTGGCCCTGTTTCAGGATTGCTGGCTCGGCTCAGGTGGTGTTTTCTAATCGGCGCCACGCACGCCAAAATACGATCGAAAAAATGGTCTCACCCGAGGCAAGGTGAGTCAAATTCTGGTTGTTATTGTCCTTATTTCTTTTCAAGGATAGTTCTGTGAAATCAAACTCGTCAATCTGATTTTTGAATCATTGTTGCCTTTTGTTCGTGTGATTTTGAGTGTTGCCATGGGCAACGCTAAGCAAAGTCTGGCAACAGCACCGGCATGGTGCGAAGCTGCCGCAGCAGGAGAATATCTCAAGTGCAAATCAACAATTTGTTCTATCCCTCTCTCTCTCTCTCTATCATGGTCATGAATTCACAGGGGACGATTGAACCTACTGTACCAAGAAGAAAAGAATCCATCACCATGCCATGTCACTTGCTGTGAACAGCTGCTGTGTCCATTATGCCATTAGCCTCGCCCTCAGAAGCCCTCAGCAAGTTGGACCTTCTCAAACTGCTTCCTGGGTGGCTGCCCCGATCATAACGTGCGGAGAGCATTCCACAGTAAAGGAATTCACTACTCATCTACTAGAAGTACATAAATTACATAATCATCTGGTGGCAATTAGGCATCTTACAGCTTGTACTTTGAGCATCTTTGAACATCTTTGGGCGTACTCAAACTTTTTGGGATTTTCATGTCCTGTCCTGTCTGCGCAGTTTGCACATGCCAAATAAGAACGAACCTAGAAATGCCCAGGCAGTGATAACGATCATCCCGCTCGTTTCAAGTGTGGAATTTGAATTGGTTTGCACCATCTAAAACTGACAACCCTCTTCTCAGTCCAGGCATCTTCTTCAGAACGAAGCTGAGCTGAGCAATGAAGCACGAGAAGGCGAAGGCGCAGAAGGCGTAGACGCGGTTCATATCCTGCAGGATGCACTCCTTCTCTTCCTGCCAGGCACCGGCCATGTCACAGGGTACAAAAGTGGTGCCCACAGTTAGCTGTATAATAGTTACATGTTATATAGTTCGGTTTATAACCAATTATAATTAACCATACTATATAATCACTGGCGGGGGAACACCGTCGGAACCCCTTGTAGCATTCTGAGTCCGGATTTCTGAATTCATGGCATCCTGCCTGACCGAAGCCGCCGACGTTGGGATTGGTGGTGATGGGCTCATCCTTGGTCACCTCATCACCCACCTGCACCACGATGTCAGCACCTGTCAGGCACTCCTGGGTCTTCACCTCACCCGAAGGCGTGGTGATGCTGACCTGCGGCGCGATCGGCGAGACACTGGGGTCCTAAAGTTTGGGAGGTGGGCGTCTGAAAATGAAGTATATATGTCTCAAAATGGCAATTGCCATGGGGGAAATGATGATATCAACCATCAAATCTGAAACTTAGAATTTCAGACAAACTGCTGGGTGACTATGCAACACCTACGGATACATCTGCAAAAAAAAAATTTTTTCAAGCCTTCAAGCCATCGATGGCGGAGATGGTGCCGGTGGCGGATGCCAAGAACTGGTTGTTGTTGCTCTGGTTGCCCTCAGGATACACCTGCAAGTGGATTCAGCTCATTAAAAGACTCCGACATCCTCCAAATATATCGAGTATCTTTTATAGCAAAATCCAACACCACAAATGTTCACGGTAACTATTCGTAGTTTTCAACCGTTTCAACCTCAACCTGTAGTGGTTTACCTTTAACACACAAAGACTGTGGACACCTGCGGCACTTTCTAGGCCTGACCACGGCCACGGTTGCCGCCAAAGTAGAAGATGCCCTTGCCGAAGATCACCTTGTCCTGCGGTCGGTGGGGTGGGGAACCCTAGGTTCGTTGATCATTGGGGCAGGTGGGGTACCATTTCAATACAGCCATCATGATTTGGGAGACTTTGGCCCTACGAAACCAGTATGGTTGAATATAGCTTAAATATGCCTAAATAATTACTCATCCGGGGTTGACAATTATACCGTTTCAAAGCCAAAACTCCAAGCACGTCATGACTAATTAGCTATGCAAAGCCACTTCATGGGATAGATTTCCCTGATATCATGTTGTTGCCACAATAGGGAACACTCATCATGGTGCGAAAATGTTCTTATTGTTTTTCCATCTATTTCATCGGGGTTGGTATTTGGGGAGGACTGTTGGGTCAAGATTTTGTAGCTGTAAAGTAGCTCTGCCCAACCCCAATCACTACATTTTCCATGCCCAGGCAAAAAAAAAACACTACAAAAGTGCAACCCCAGCCTGGATAAAGGGTTACTACAAAAACCAAAGGATCTACAGTAACAAGAGGTCTTCAAGAGACCCTGAAAAAACCACGTAGATGTTTGTAGTGATTTTTAAGTAGATCCCACTGAGTCTTCAAGATCAATCCAAAAAAATGACAAAGTAGTTTGTAGTGATTTTTGGGTATACACCACTGACATCCACTGTGGCACTTCAATCCACCTGTGGCACTTTGGAAATCCTGATGTCCATATTGAGCCCAATTACACCGACATAGAATGCGGATGCATATATTATTAATTGGTGTATGTATATGAATGCGGCATCTCATAAAGATTCCCCAAGAAACACTACAAAGTTCTTCAGGGGTCAAACCCGGCTGATTTCAGAACATTGATCTTGGAACCCCACAAATTCACTACAATTGGTACTTTTAGGTCAAATCTGAGTGAACTCAGAAATCCATTTTGGGTCGACTATTATCTCGCATACTTAACCACTACAAACTTCTATGACCAGCCCATGTTTGAATCTAGAAACATATGTGACCTAGGGTTACTACAAAATGCAAGGACACATGGTCCTAGGGGGACTGTAAAAACCATTGAAAAACCTATTTTACAGAGGGCCCAAGCCCACTACTTTTGTAGTGGAAATTCCCTCCAGCATTCTATTTCGACATAGGCACGATAAACGCAAGGCCCTGCTTGAAGGCTTCATCCACTCATATCGCTTTGTTTTCCCACTATGGTATTCTAATCGCACGTGATTTAACCATATTCGATAGACTGAATGAATCCAAATTATATCCATTTGTTTCCACTAACCCCTCACCCCTTCAGCGTGCCAAGTCGCATTGGTGTTGGGATCAGGGGACAGCACAGGGAGCACCATCTTCTCGTAGGTTTCGCCTCGGGGCAAGCACTTATTTACCAGTCTCAGCCCCTGGATTTGCTGAGAAAACCCTCGGAACCAGCCTGGCACCGGGCCGGCAACCACAATGTTGGGATACTCCTGGTGCTGGGCGCGTTGTAGGTAGTGGGGACATGTTCCATTGAGCATTGGCTCCGTCAAGAGGAGAACACATAGGATTGGTGTTTTCATTTGGTTTCCGACTGTGTAGTTGATGGATGCTGCTCAAAACTCAAAGCGGAATCCTCGGATAACTGGGCAAAGAGACACCAGTAAGCTTCATGAATCAGCCGATTCAAAAACTGCACTATTTATATGATACTTCGCAGATTCTGAAAGTGCCTCAACCTCTCAGCAGCTGTGAACCATCTTCCCTGTCCTTGCTGTAGGGAGCCCAGGCCAAGCCCTTCATCTCCTTCTTCAGAGGCTTGGGGAGACGGTCCTTGGGAGCCAACTTCCATCCCTCAGGCATCACGGCAATGGCGCCAATGTTCATGGGGCCCTTGGAGCCATCAGCAAGAGGCTGGCGGCGCTTGGCGTACTTGGCTGGCACCTCAACCTCCATCTTGAAGATGGTGTCGGGGAGCACCGCCTGAGGAAGCCTCACCTCAATGGATTTGCTAGCCAAATGGCAATTGGCGCACACGATCTTCCCAGTGTACTCACGAGGCTTGGCATAGTTCTGCTGGGCAAAGATAGGGTACGCAACAGCTGCCTCCATGGAGCTAGTGAACAGCATGGCGGCAGAGGCACCTGCCAAAGCCTGCTTGGCAAAGGCCTGGATGCCCTCCATGTGTTTGTCAGTCTCCTCTGGGGTAGGAGCATCAGCTCCGTTCAACTGCGCGCGGCAGGCCACCAGGTGGTCGCGGTAGTATGACCTGATTACGGCAAACGACTTATTAAACGATTTCCCATAACTGAAACGTTGCCATCCAACAATGCTCTGGCAATGGCACTAGCACATCACCAAACCTTCTACGGAAGTCACCTGCGGAGGGGACCGATGAAAATCATCAGCTTTAGTTGAGCTAAAATATGAGTGAATCGGGCATCATCTTCCCAAGCAGGGATGGAACAAAATGAAGACAACCCCACACAACACAGCCTAAAACTAGTTTGGAATAGTTTGGATATTCATCCTTTTTTGGTTGTGCTGATATTTACATGTTTTTTGGATCTTTTTGGTTTAACTTTCACAAGTTTGTTGGTCGCTGCCCAACATTTAAACATGTCCAGACAGTACAATTTTTTTCTGTCCCCTCTTTGTGTTGGTCAAATCCGAAACTATTCAATTCTCCCTCACGAGAAGGCAAAGGAAACAACCTGGTCACATTTTCCCTGGCAAAAAAAACATGTTCTCCTTCATTTCTACCCAAAAAACTCCTCGAAGTTTCCAGTGGTGCCAACCATCTTTCCTGCACGTTGCTTGCGCGCACGTCGCAGGCCAGCGGCAGCCACCATACCACAGGCTGCTAAGGCTGCGCCTGGAGATCAAACTATTCGCTGCCGCTGCAGGGATGACTATCCCGAAATCAAGAAAATATGATGGTTTCGTCGTAATTACTCTAAAATCCAAGTTTTGACCATGACGCAGGAAGGAAAGATAAATTCATCAAATCACCAGTAGTACGGCACAAGGCGGTGGCGGAAGTTTCAAAAATAGGAAACCTATAGGAGAGGCTGGTTGTTGTGAATCAGGGATGGCAGAGCGAAGCCACTGATGGACTGAAAGGCGATTGATCTCTTTCACTCTTTCTCTCTCTTTCTCTCTTTTTCTCTCTGTTTCTCTATCTTTCTCTGATTATCTACCGACCTACCTACTGATCTATCTATCTATCTATCCATCCATCTATCTATCTCATCTACCCAGCTGGCCTCTCTCTCTCTCTCTCTTTCATCTAATTACCTATCTATCTATCTATCTACCTATCTGTCTGTCTGTCTATCTATCTATCTATCTATCTATTTATCTATCTATCTATCTATTTATCTATCTATCTATCTATCTATCTATTTATCTATCTACCTATCTATCTATCTATCTATCTGCCTGTCTATCTGTGGTGCAGCGTCATTCAGTGTAATGTAGTGTGGTGTAATGTAGTGTGGTGTAGTGTAATTTAGTGTAGTGGAGCTCCAAAATGTAACCCCTCTCAGGAAATCAGCACCCTGACCTCCCAACCTCTCTCATGAACATGTCTTTTGTACTGCGCCTGCCACGGAAAATGCGTCTTTGCAGATCATCTTCAAATGTCCCATGCCTGCCATCTTTTGTCGAAATGCTGCAAAACCCTCTTGTTTTGCTCACTTTTGACAAGATCCACAATCTCGTGCGCCTGCCACGCGAAACGACATCTGAGCCTCCAAAAGTGGTCCGAACCCCTAGTGTTTTTAACATGTTGACTTCGAAATGTGCTTCGCGCCACAACGGCCTGCACTTTTTTCGACATCTGAACCTCCAAAAGTGGTCCGAACCCCTAGTGTTTTTAACATTTTGACTTCGAAATGTGCTTCCGGCGTGCACTTTTTCGACATCTCAACTTCCAAAAGTGCTCCGACCATGGCGTGTTTTGTACATTTTGAGTTCGACATGTGCTTCGTGCCACAACGGCGTGCACTTCTTCGACATCGCAACTTCCAAAAGTGGTCCGACGCTGAAGTGCTTTGTACATTTTGACTTCGAAATGTGCTTCGCGCCACAACGGCATGCACTTTTTCGACATCTGAACTTCCAAAAGTGGTCCGGACCCCTAGTGTTTTTAACATTTTGACTTCGAAATGTGCTTCGCGCCACAACGGCGTGCACTTTTTCGACATCTGAACTTCCAAAAGTGGTCTGTCACTGAGGTGCTTTGAACATTTTGACTTGCAAATGTGCTTCGCGCCACAACGGCGTGCAATTTTTCATCTCTCATCTGGCCAGCTGGCTCCGCACCCGCCGCTTTAGCGAGCCTACTTTTCGACCCTCCGGAGCCCAAATCATTGGAAAAACACAGTGTTTCGCGACTTTCCTACCTTTTCGCGCATCTGCATCTTCTTTCTTCTTACTTCTTCTTTCTTCTAATCTTTCTCTTCTCTCTGCCTCTTCCCTGCTCTGCTTTTCATCTGTCCATATTGTCGGAAGTTTGACTTCTAAACTTCCTTCGATCATGAGGTCTTACAATCGAATCAAATTGCGGACTTGACTGGGCATTTGCGGCAAGGAATCTGCCAGGATATGACCGAGTTACCTTTTCTTCATGCTTAGGGTTTTCCAACCTAGTACCTTACTGGGCATAAATACTATAAACAATGCCATAAACATGGGGATATTATATAACCTCGCGATATGTCATGATACTTTCTGCGCATGGTCGTTTTAATTCATCCATATATGCACACTTCAACAGAAATCTATATGTAACATATGCGTGTGTAGTTGGGAAAAAAAAGAACATGTCGGCATGTACGTGCTCACAATTTACATTTACATTTCTATTTATATCAGACTGATTCCTCTTGGGACCTCTTGGGCATCAAGGCTTCTCACCTTATACCCTCCGCCTGTACCGCTGTGTCCATGGCTGCTGGAACCCGCCACCACTCTTGGAATCTGCTGGTTGAAGCTAGGCGTCACTACCGTCGGGCTGAGGACTGTGAAAGCAGGAGCCACCAGCGCCATGGTAACGAGGGACGACGAGGGGCACTTTTGAACAGCTGGCTCCAGCCTGGCTGACACGGCAATACGCCAATGAGAACGAGAAAGATCTCGTTTTTCTATGTCTTTCTCCACCAGGGCAAGAATCCGATATCTGCAGTTTAAGATAGTTTAAGATCTTTTAAGCAACATCAAAATAGGGAGACTGACAACAAAAGCAGGTGTGCAATTCGAGCACTATCACCCTTTATCACACGAATTATCATGGCCTATTCTCAAGCGAGCTTCTCAATGTTCTCCACCCTAAATTAGCCAAGTGCAATCCCTTTCTCTTGCATCGGCGCCACATGCGCGTTCGCAGGAATGTCAGTCGAAAAAATGCCACCTAACCCGTCATGACGCCGAGCGAGTCTCACCTTCGCATGGCAAGTCGCCAAGTTTTTTTCGGTCATTCTTTGGCCAAGGGGCCGATGGGCTATGAGCTATGGAAAATAGTATAAACAAATACTCCATGGATGATGATAGTGCCATCATTTTCTGACCTGGTGAGGTCTTAATGTTGGAGAAAATGGAGGACTGGACTTCAGCATTCAAGGAATCGTGGCTAAGTCATGGCTGCGGCACTACCATCTGCCCATCTAAATTCAACTATATAAATATGACTGCTCAGAATCCCTCAGCCAACTGGACCTTCTCGAACTGCTTCCTCAGCAAAAGCCCAATAACAAAAAAAAGGTAAAAGGTGGTCCTTTCCGCAACATCTCCGGAATCCAACCCCCCACCCGTTGACAGCAACTCACTTTTGATCCCATGATGGTTCATGTGACCCATCCTGCTTCAGGCCTCAGAACCTTGCAGACTCCGTTCTTTCAACTTCCCAAGCATCTTCTTCAGCACGAAACTGAGCTGGGCAATGAAGCAGGAGAAGGCAAAGGCGCAGAAGGCGTAGACGCGGTTCATGTCCTGCAGGATGCACTCCTTCTCTTCCTGGGCACTTCAAAGGCTGATAAAGGCGGTTCTCTAAACCCCCGTCTGTAAGGGGAAATCCAAGGACTCCTTGACAGCTTCCCCAAAAAACAATTCACCAACAATTCACCAACGGAAACTTTAAACGTGCAAGTGTTTAAGGTGGGGAAAACATAGTTGACGAGGAAGTCGCTGTCCCCCCCAAAAAAAGGACTCCATACACCTATGTAGATATGGGTTTGTAGAAATCAATCATCAACCTACCCTTGAAATTGATGCTTGGAATCCCACCCATTCATGGCCATATTTGGGGGATGGCTTATAGTTGATACCACCATATACCACCCACTCCACCGGCCTGGCCGAAGCCGCCCACGTTGGGGTTGGTGGTGAGGGGCTCATCCTTGGTCACCTCGTCACCCACCTGCCAGGTCTGCGAGGCTCCTATGCTTGGTGGTTCATCCCACTTAATAAGTGGGTTATAGCCCCAATTATAAGTGGATTAACCCTACTTATCCCATTTATAACTGGGGCTATATCCCACTTACTAACTGGGATGAGCCACCAAGTGCTGACAAACTCTCCAAGTTCCTCCGTCGCAAACTCGAATCCCAATCAGGGTCCCAATCCTTCGCAATCTGTCACCATACGTTGGTAACTGAGCTATCTTAGCTGAGTTTACCAACGTTGGTACTGATAGCTGAGGAAAACCATCACCTTTAAAACGTGCTTTTACCAACGGTGGTCCCGTGCCATCGGCTCCATGGATATGACTTTCGCCACGGAAATGATGACACCGAAGCAATTGAATCACCATGTTCCTTCCGTAAACTAAATAGATGTGGAACACAGACCATGAAAGTAGATCATCTAGGTCTAGGTGGTTTCCACATCTATGTTACTTCAACCCATTTTGTGCCTTCCGAACATCACCATCTTTAATAGAGAAAATAACTATAAATTGGCAATTTTCTATAGCTTTCTGTATGTTTACCCAAGGGTAAGAGCGTAGCCATTGAACATTTTTTTACTTTGTTGATTTACCTGTTAAACATGGTGATTTTCCATAGCAAACCGTGAAAAATGACTGGAGACCCAGGCCTGCACTACGATGTCAGCACCTCTCAGGCACTCCTGCGTCTTCACTTCACCGGAAGGAGTGGTGATGCTCACCTGGCACGGCATGTTGTAATGTTTGCAGATGTAATAGTAACTGTAGTAACCTGGTTGGTGGTTTTAACCATCTTGAAAAATATTAATTAGTCAATGGGAAGGATTATCCCATATATTATGGAACAAATATATAATGTTCCAAACCACCAACCAGTAACCGTAGTAACTGTAATGTTAGTAAAGCAATTATGATGGTTTCTACTAGTTATATAGATGGTAATTATAATATGAACACATATGAAAATACTGTAATTAGTAGTAATTAGTTAGTTAGTTATATAAAACACCCATATTTCTAGGTCAATTATAATATTTCACTAACCTGACTTGTTGGGCCATGAATGGGGATGATTTCCCACAATCTAACCATGATTCCAGGCTTTGGGAGAACAGCTTTATGGGGAGTTGAACCATCCCCAGTCATGGTAGGTTGGCACACATAGTCGCATAGATACACCCACACACACACATGTATATATATATATATATATAAATATTACACACATATTCTGACAGTCTAGGAAGAAACCAGAAAAATAATAAGTATATCATAGCCTATCTGGCCTATCTATATCTCTCGAAACATCTATAAGCGAATTGTGTATACACGCGGATTTTATGCCTATGGTGCCACAGGAAGAGATCTATGAGGTAACACAAGCTGACATCAACTGTCATTTGTATGCTGAACAGATCCACTGGCCGACTGTCGCAAAAGACATCTTGTGAATTCCAGCCCTGTTATACCTTTTTCTCAATCAAATGCGTGACATGACATGATGATGAACCTTACATTCTCGTGATGAGACTTACTCGCCACTAAAAACCAACATAAAGTCAAAAGGATATATAGTCATATATAGTCCATGAACATCCACAATTAATCATGCATGAATTGGACCATCCCTACCTTCGTTTACAGGGAACAGAGTGTTCCCAGCCATGTCAGACCTTCAAACCATCGATGGCGGAGATGGTGCCGGTGGCGGATGCCAAGAACTGGTTGTTGTTGCTCTGGTTGCCCTCAGGGTAGACCTGCCACTCTACTTGGCCCTTCGGCACTTCGAAACAACATGGACCCCTGAAAATCTACGGGTGACTCACTTTTGGGGCTGATGATCCCGACTTTCCAAGGAACGATATGGAAGTGAATCTTAGGAGCCCCCCAAAAAAAGCACCAGATCCACCAGTCTTAAGCCCAAAGAGGACGGTCGTATCCTTGGAATCTGTTCGCCCTCCGGGAATGAAAGATGGCTGGAAATTCCCCAATGAAATGAAGGTTTTGAGAGGAAAATCATGGGAAAACCATGGACAACTATAGGAAAATCCGCTCTCAATGGAGTTTTGAAAGTGAAAATCAACTGTTCAAATGGTGGATTTCTCTTGCCCGACCTGCCACACCTGCCCTGGTTTCCGAACCTGGCCACGGCCGCGGTTGCCGCCAAAGTAGAAGATGCCCTTGCCAAAGATCACCTTGTCCTGAAGCTGAGCTGGAGACCCATCCATTGGAGGGCAACAAACATGGATATCATATGGATATCATGGAAAAAATTGATGGAAATCCATGGGAAGTATAGCATCTTATGCTTATCGAAATATATATGGAAATATCTTAGAGTCATTCCACTTCTATCATCGACATAAGATCAAAATATCATATGGAAAAAAAAGTACCCCAAAGATGGGCCTGAAAAAATCGGCTCGGCTACTTCCCAAATCCCCCGGTTCATCATCCGATCATCCGAGCCCTGGTGCCACCCCCGACGATTTTTCAAGCGACGTTGGTATTGGGATCCGGGGACAAGACAGGGAGCACCATCTTCTCGTAGGTTTCGCCTCCAAAAAAGTTCCACATGGTCATTGCAGTCCATACTGGCCACAGAGAATTGTTCCGATATTCAACAACTATGTTCCTATCAATTCCATATGGTGGATTCATAAAATGGATCCCAAAAAACATAAATTCATTAATGTGTGCCTCTGATTAGTGTGAGGGCCCCCCCCCCCAAACAATTTGAGGATACTCTATCACTCGCACTTTTTTTTGCCCCCCCTCAACATTTTTTTGGTCAATCAACTTAAGAAAGGATTTCAATTTACTTTCAATTGATTTCAATTTACTTTCAATTGATTTCAATTTACTTTTAATTTACTTTCAATTGATTTCAATTGATTTCAATTGATTTCAATTTACTTTTAATTTACTTTCAATTTACTTTCAATTGATTTCAATTTACTTTTAATTTACGTTCAATTTACTTTCAATTGATTTCAATTTACTTTTAATTTACTTTCAATTTACTTTCAATTGATGTCAATTTACTTTCAATTTAATTTCAATTGATTTCAATTTACATTTAATTTACTTTCAATTTACTTTCAATTGAATTCAATTTACTTTCAATTGATTTCAATTTACTTTTAATTTACTTTCATTTTTTTTTCACTCCCAAAAGTTGGTGCTCACAATAGAGTACCATCCAAACAATTATATCATTGAGTAACTGAGCCACTCATGAGGTACACCCTTGAAAAATTGTCTGGATGCTGTTTCTTAATAAGGGTTTAATAAGGCATCTAATTATTTGGGAAACCTTGCATTTTAAAGTTTTATCACAACTATGGCTTTCTAAAGTGAAAGGACCAGCTTTACCCAAAGAAAGGTGGAGAAAGGGTTTCGTTTTTTCACTCCAAAAAGTTGGTGCTCACAATAGAGTACCATCCAAACAATTATATTTTTCAGTAACTGAGCCACTCATGAGGTACCCCTTTGAAACATTGTCTGGATGCTGTTTTTTAATAAGGGTTTAATAAGGCATCTAATTATTTGGAAAGCCTTGCATTTTAAAGTTTTAACACAAATATGGCTTTCTAAAGTAAAGGGACCAGCTTTACCCAAAGAAAGGTGGAGAAAGGGTTTTGCTTTTTTTTTCACTCCCAAAAGTTGGTGCTCACAATAGAGTACCATCCAAACAATTATATTATTCAGTAACTGAGCCACTCATGAGGTACACCCTTGAAAAATTGTCTGGGTGCTGTTTTTTAATAAGGGTTTAATAAGGCATCTAATTATTTGGGAAACCTTGCATTTTAAAGTTTTATCACAACTATGGCTTTCTAAAGTGAAAGGACCAGCTTTACCCAAAGAAAGGTGGAGAAAGGGTTTCGTTTTTTTTTTTCACTCCCAAAAGTGGATGCTCACAATAGAGTACCATCCAAACAATTATATTATTCAGTAACTGAGCCACTCATGAGGTACACCTTTGAAAAATTGTCTGGGTGCTGTTTTTAATAAGGGTTTAATAAGGCATCGAATTTTTTGGGAAACCTTGCATTTTAAAGTTTTAACACAACTATGGCTTTCTACAGTAAACGGGCCAGCTTTACCCAAAGAAAGGTGGAGAAAGGGTTTTGCTTTCTTTTTTTTCACTCCCAAAAGTTGGTGCTCACAATAGAGTACCATCCAAACAATTATATTATTGAGTAACTGAGCCACTCATGAGGTACCCCCTTGAAAAATTGTCTGGATGCTGTTTTTTAATAAGGGTTTAATAAGGCATCGAATTATTTGGGAAACCTTGCATTTTAAAGCTTTAACACAAATATGGCTTTCTAAAGTGAAAGGACCAGCTTTACCCAAAGAAAGGTGGAGAAAGGGTTTCGTTTTTTTTTTCACTCCAAAAAGTTGGTGCTCACAATAGAGTACCATCCAAACAATTATATTATTCAGTAACTGAGCCACTCATGAGGTACCCCTTTGAAAAGTTGTCTGGATGCTGTTTTTTAATAAGGGTTTAATAAGGCATCTAATTATTTGGAAAGCCTTGCATTTTAAAGTTTTAACACAAATATGGCTTTCTACAGTAAAGGGGCCAGCTTTACCCAAAGAAAGGTGGAGAAAGGGTTTTGTGTTTTTTTTCACTCCCAAAAGTGGGTGCTCACAATAGAGTACCATCCAGACAATTATATTATTGAGTAACTGAGCTACTCATAGGGTAATTAATATATTAATGAAAAATAAAGCAACAAAAAAAGATAAGAAAGGAAACAATGAAAAAAATGAAACAAGAGTAAATAAACATAAAATTAAAATAGAAAAGTAAAAAGTAAAAATAAAAAATAAAATAAAAATAGATGAAGTAAAAATAAAAATAAATTAATTCATTTCAAAACAACAATAAAGCATTTGGAATAAAAATAAAAGTTGAAAAAAAAAATCTGGAAAAAATTTCTCACAATAGAGGTTCCCCCCAACAATTAGCATGTTACTGAATTAGGAGCAAGAAATTTCTCACAATAGGGTACCAGGCTTCTAATCAGAGGCAAACATTACTCAAGACTAAAAACTGGTCTAATTTTGGATGATCTGGGGTGCCCCCCACTTTGACACATCCATATATACAGTCGTACTTGAGCCATCAAAACTACCCCTATCCCATCCCATTCTACTAGTTGGTTGATAGATTTCCCTACCATGGGCTATCATAATTCCTAGATATTCCAGTAAATTGGGTAGTACAAGTCCCTATAGAAACCAATCAAGCCTGGTATTTTTAAGGGCTCACTTGGAGCCCCCAAAAAGGTCGTCAGATGTTAAACCATGTTAAACCCCATGCCTGGCACAGGTCCAGCTACCACGATGTTGGGATACTCCTTTTGGGCATGCCGGGCATGCCACCATCTTGGATGCATTTCTACAAAGAATGGAATGGATGTGTTGGGGAAATGGACGGTTGGATCTTCCTGGATCTTCAGCAAAGGTGGGCCTCTGCAAATGGATGCAAATGGGTATGTCTCTCATTGTCTCACACTTAGGAACCTATGAGTGCCTTGAACATGCCTCAGCAATCTCAAATTACATAGTTATGTTGGGAAAGCAACGGGCCATTCACAATGGCCAAGTATTCGGACAGTTGGAAAGATACAAACGGGTTTCCAAAACGCTGCGGTCTCCTTGCTGTAGGGAGCCCAGGCCAAGCCCTTCATCTCCTTCTTCAGAGGCTTGGGGAGACGGTCCTTGGGAGCCAACTTCCATCCCTCAGGCATCACGGCAATGGCGCCAATGTTCATGGGGCCCTTGGAGCCATCAGCAAGAGGCTGGCGGCGCTTGGCGTACTTGGCTGGCACCTCAACCTCCATCTTGAAGATGGTGTCGGGGAGCACTGCCTGAGGAAGCCTCACCTCAATGGGTTTGCTGGCCAAATGGCAATTGGCGCACACGATCTTTCCAGTGTACTCACGAGGGTTGGCATAGTTCTGCTGGGCAAAAATTGGGTACGCAACAGCTGCCTCCATGGAGCTGGTGAACAGCATGGCGGCAGAAGCACCCGCCAAAGCCTGCTTGGCAAATGCCTGGATGCCCTCCATGTGCTTGTCAGTCTCCTCTGGGGTAGGAGCATCCACGCCATTAAGCTGCGCGCGGCAGGCCACCAGGTGGTCGCGGTAGTAGGACCTGGGCTCAGGAGATGTTCTCTCAACGTGTCATATCGTGTCATCCTACAGCTGAATTCCATGCCAATAAGGGCCCAATGCTTTGGTGATTTTAGTGGCCTCTAGGAGATCAACTATCAATGCAGCTGCTGCCCTGTCGAGAGCCATTCCGTTGAACATGTACAGAGAGATATCATGGGATATTTAAATGGCCCCCCCAAAACCATACGAGCCTCCCGATGATTGTTGTCCCCTTGATCATTCTCAAACACAGCCGCGAGAAAGACCGATATTCTCTACTCCTTTTGGGCCCCAGAACGGGGAAAAAGACGACACGTCTGAAGTCTGAAACCCCATTTACCAGATATGTCTACCATAAATCTGATGCATATGCAAATATATATATATATATATATTATATATATATGTGTGTGTATGTACTTCTAAGCGGACTCAGCTAACGAACTGAGGCACCACCTAGGCCTGCTGCCCAGCAACTCTTCTGCCGCCACGGATGCTCCAACCATCACTGGACCCTTCGGCATGCTGCCCTTCGCCCTACGCGCGCGACGCGTCACCGCGGCGGCAGCAACCAGGCCGGCAGCGGCCAAGGTGACACCTGCTTTGGAAATGTCTATGCTAGGTAGGTGCATATATAAATGTAAAATACTGTGGTACATGACACAAATAAATGTTATGATTTATGATATATAAAACATACACACAGACACGCGCATATATATATATACATGTGATATATATATATACATATATGATATACATATATGATATATATATATATGTGTGTATTTATTTATTTGTTTATATAGTTGTATGCCTGCATACGAATATTTTTAGCGAATGCATTCACATGTTCAATTTAAAAGACCAACTCATATGTTGATTTTTCAAGTTTAGGCTCACCTTTGGGGAATAGTTATAATTATACACATACTGAAACCTGTCAAATGCATTCAAATGTTCAACCCTGGGGTCCTGCAGTTTGAGATGTTTGAGACTCGCAACGACGGAAGCGGAAAATTGAGATGTCAGTTGCTAACTCATGTAATTAGTAGAGTCCAACAACATCAGTTCATATCAGGACTATCTTTCTCTGTTTCCATTGCACTTGAGCCTAGGAAGCTGCACTTGAGAACCAACCGACCAAACGGAAAAAAGTACAATGCAAGTACTGACTTCGGATCAGCCGATGGAGGCTGAAGCGACAGCTTCTTGTTCACACCAACCTCCCCAAACACATGTGAACACCAGCCCGCAGGTGCCTGCACCAGCTGGTCCCTGCACTTTGTCGGCCGGTGGCTGCTGCACAGCACCCCGCAAGGTGGGAGTGTTGACGGAGCCGGGGCTGGAGACCACGGTGAAGGCAGGGGCCAGGGCCATGGCTGCAGTTGCGGATGGTGAAAGGTCCGATTTTTGGGGCTGGGAGGCTGAGGAGATGAACAGCGAAGCCTGGGATGGCAACAACCAGCACCAATTGGAGGGTGATGGAACCTCCAAAGCGGGCTTTGAACCATTTATGTCGATATTATTCAAGTTATATAGGTTTTTTGATCAGAATCGGGTCCAAGATTGTGAAAGATGGTGGTTAAACTTGGGTTCTCCTCACATTTTGGTGCTTGGATCTGTTCTTCGGGGGAATTGAGGTGCAAAGGTGCAACGTTTTCTCTTCCCCGCATTGCCCGCCACGCAGCGGTGGCAAGGGAGAATTTTTCACGGACGCGGCGTAGGGGCCGGCGTCGCGTAGGGGCCACGGTCAAGTCTCAAAAAGTCACCGTGTCTTTGGGAAAACACCACGCCCCATAAGTTTGCCACCATGACTTGTTACGATATGAAGTTCATTCACTATAAGAGGTGAATCCAAGGAAATGGATCACCCATGATGGGTATATGTTTCAAATTGTTTCAATATAAGAAGTGCCTCAATTGCTGCCGCTTGCTTCTTACTCTGTGTTGCAATGCCTTTCTCTGCCATTATGCTACTTGGATCTACTTGGAATATCTGTTCATCCTGCGGGGGGGCCACTCAGCTCGATCAGAAGCCCTCGGCCAGCTGAACCTTCTCAAACTGCTTCCTGGGGGCTTGCGAGTGTCACAGAAGGGTGGGGTTCAACTGTTCAACCATGGTTCAACCATGTTCAACCTATGATTTGGGGGTGATGGCAACTCTCAATCCAATGATAGACTGCGTTCAAAGAAATCAAACAAAATGCAATCCATCTTCGAGCTTGAGAGTAGTTGACTAATGTTGACTATAGTTGATGCCGACTGCTGGTACTGTCATGGGCTCCATGGTTCCGCTTCAGGGACAAACAACACATCGAAAAGCAACGCATAGTCCTGCCGCTTGCCTTAGCAGCCCCTTTCGTCTGCAAATATGGAACACCAAACCTCCAAAGTATCATCAGTTTCCTCGAAAAAGAGAATTTACACATCTATTCAGGTAGTAGGGGTAAATCCCTCCTTTCTTGTTGGACCAACCCATGGCATCTTTTTTTGGCAGAGCCACTTCTTCAGCACGAAGCTGAGCTGAGCAATGAAGCAGGAGAAGGCAAAGGCGCAAAAGGCGTAGACGCGGTTCATGTCCTGCAGGATGCACTCCTTCTCTTCCTGGGAGTGGTTGATAGGGGTTGCAAAGCTGCTGACATCTGCAGCTCGTGGAAATTGTGTGCACCTTTCCAAGTGCTACATAGAGCATCCAGCGCTCGCTTTGTTTATTGTTGTGAGTGTTTTGCATCACTTGAATCGTTTAGACATGCTGGAATGCATCAAGTTTAGTTGAAGCAACACTAACATACTCTAATACATATATTAATATATGCATCAAGCCCAGGTGTTTCTGATGAAAAAATGGCCAAGAATGGCCAGCATGCGCCCAGAATGATCACCGGTGCCTGCCCGAAGCCACCTACGTTGGGGTTGGTGGTGAGGGGTTCATCCTTTGTCACTTCATCACCCACCTGACGGCGATGGTAGGAAGACCGTTCTGAAACGACGTTGAATGGGATTTCACCAACAAACATGCTGATATCATGGAATATCATGGGGGATATACAGATATATACCCTCCGGTAAACCAACATAGCCATGGAGAATCAACATCTTAAAAAGATTTAAGAAGTAAATCAACGAACTACATGGGTCATTTTCCGTAGCTATGTTAGTTTACCAGAGGGATCCAAGGGTACCTTCCCCCAAATAAACATAGACCAATGTTTAGTTAGCGGAAAGTAATCTGCCAACCCCCTATTTTTTGCTAGGGCGTCCAAGGGGGTTTGCCCGAAATGAAACAACATGTACAAACACTTCTATTTGGCATGTTATTTGTATGTACTGTATTTACATGTTTGTATGTTCATTTGTCTGCTTATTGATTCATTTAGACACAAGAACACATCATTACAATCATACCTGTCACATCTCACCTCGATACCTTTCTCCCTCTCTTGAAAAATACTGCCGGGAATCGACAACTGGAAATCAACATATTATATATCAATATACCCTCTGGTAAACTAACATAACTATGGAAAATCACCATTTTTAATGGGAAAATCCACTATAAATCACCATTTTCAATAGCTATGTTAAATTACCAGAGGGTAAATCAACACGAATATGGCATAAATAAATATCACCCATGTTGGGGATGATTCCCCCCCTGGGACAAAGCAGTAAGGGGTGAAATCCGTTGAGATTCTTAAGCTGACCACCCTCAGCCCGCAGTTTTGGCCTGCACCACGATGTCAGCACCTGTGAGGCACTCCTGCGTCTTTACTTCGCCCGAAGGAGTGGTGATGCTCACCTGGTTGAGTCGAGTCAGAGTCCGGAGGGCCCAGGGGATTCATATGATTCATAGAGGAAGCCCTTCGGGAAATCATGGGAAATCATCAGAAATGATCACGGTAAATGTTACAGTACCATCTGGTTATTTAACATAGCCATTGAAAGATCCACCATTTTTAAGAACGGTAAACCATCTATAAATGGGCCATCTATACCATGGCTATGTTAAATAACCAAGAAGGGTAAACATTTACCCATGGTGCTGTTGATCTACTGACGGGGAACCATCCCCAGTCTCACATCGCCTCGCGTGTCTTGCTGCAATGTGCTCAAGAAACTGTGAAGAAACATGTCTGATGTGTACCCCCAATTCCATCCAATTCCATCCAATTCCATCCAATTCCAACGGAATAGTATTATTGTCCCAATCAAAATGTCCATTTGGGGGTCTGCCCCATTTTAAGGTCTACGGCCACTTCATTTGCTCTTTAGATGGAACAGGATCGAACACGATTGGGTCATCGCACAGACCTTCAAACCATCGATGGCGGAGATGGTGCCGGTGGCGGATGCCAAGAACTGGTTGTTGTTGCTCTGGTTGCCCTCAGGGTAGACCTGGCCATCCCCAAGATGGACAAAGTGACGAAGAGAAGCTGCAGACATCACGTGCAAGCTGCAATCTCAGAAACAGTGATAATGATATCAATGATGCACGTGTTAATGCGTCTTAAAGCTTAAAGCACATATATATATATATATACTGATCCTGAAGTAGATAGAATATTTTTTGGAGGCTGTGGGGATTTATGTTGGAATTGTGTTGGGTGTTGGCCACTAAAAAAAAAAACTAGTACTTGGAATATTTCGACCCCCCCGGGGAGGTCGAAAACTGGTAGTTAGAATATGGTTTGGAAGGGTAGATAGAATATTTTTGTTCCAAGTGGCCCATCCACAGAATGCATATCCTGTGGAAAAACAGTCTCAAACTGCTGTGGGGTCTGTGCGTAGTGTTCACAATTCCCTCAAAAAATTCTTTCTACCTGGTTCTAAACAATATTCTATCTATTTTTTTGTAAATTTTGATTTTGGTGTTTTTTCAATATTTATTTCTCCAGACCTGTGTCCAAAATTGGCTAAACATGACTTTAACAGGGACGAAAAACGTGTAAAAACTGAGGGTTGTGAACATATTCCAACTATTGTTTTTTTTAAATCAGGATTGAACACGTCCGATATTCTATCTACTCCAGGACGGCTCTATATGTATAACTATATATAATATATATTATATATATGGTTGTTTCTAACTGATCTTCCGAATTGAAACCATTTACCCTCTGGTTACTTAACATGAATGGCCCATTTATATGGTGATTTACAGCAATTACACCCATATTTACCTATAAAAATGCCTGATTCTCCAGTTCCCCAGTTGGGCGTCACTTTTCGACGCCCTAAACGACCTGGCCGCGGCCACGGTTGCCACCGAAGTAGAAGATACCCTTGCCGAAGATGACCTTGTCCTGGCACGGCGAATCTTGGGTTGAGATCTCATGGGATAGCCTTCTGGTCAACTAATTAATAGCCATTTGGAGGTTTCTTAAAATATCTTAAAATCGAGGTACCCCTAGTTATCATCCGTTTTAAAATTTGGGATTTTCCATGAAATAAACCATCCAGCTATTGGGATACACCATTTATGGAAACCCCCATTTCTCTCTCTCTCTCTCTGTCTCCATCGCCCTCTCCGCGAGTTCAGCATCTTGCTGGCGAGCCAAGGACAGCTTGGCAGTTCAACCGCTCAGCTAGGCGTGTCATATCACCAAGCCAAACAACAGGTAACATAGCATTGAAAATGGTGGTTGTTTACTTCGTTGATTTACCTATGAAAAATGGTGATTTTCCATAGCTATGTGAGTTTAGCAGAGGGTAACCAAAATCGATATGGCACGATTGTTATTGCTTATCAAACATGTTGTCAGTCTTGGATGGCCCCTATAAAAAATAGTTATGGTATGTTCTATTAAGTTGGTCCTATTGAACATCAGATGATACAAGAATGCTAAGCCCGCAATTGATGGTCCAAAAAAACAACAAATACCCGAAGAAGCGGTCACTTGAAGGGAGACTTTGCCGTGGTTATGGGTGCACCATGGTGCACCTTGAGGATGCGATGGCATTAGGGTCAACATGCTTTCAGTTCCGAAGAAAAATACCTATAGATGTTGGCCATGGCTAGCAATGTGGTAACCACAATCATAGATAATCATAGACAATTCCCATTTTTTATAAAGAATGGCGGAATAAAGATATCCATAGATATCCTCTAGGCGAACTCGTTGGGTTTCCCAACATTTCCTTAGCGAACGGCCGTGGCATTGGTGCCGAGTGGCATTGGTATTGGGATCCGGCGACAGCACTGGCAGGACCATCTTCTCATAAGTCTCGCCTGTGGTGGGCTTTGAAGATCACTTTTAGGAGGTCAGAAAGGGTTCCAAAAATCTGATGACCCTCCAGTAGTCAAACATGGGTGATGGAGGCTTTAACGGGAAACTGATCCATAACTGCCATAACTTGGGGATTTTCCATTGCCATGTTTGATTGCCGGAGGGTAGTTCCAAGACCAGACATGAGACAAATTTAGGATCACCACCCCTACTTATCATATCTAATCATCATTTTTGGTGGCCTCTTGTGAGGTTGCTGTAATCTACAAAGAATGATCAGTCACTCAATCCACCATAATAGTCCCTTGAAAAAGGTGACCAACTTTGGCTCTGCCTGGCACAGGACCTGCCACAACAATGTTGGGATACTCCTGGCAGGATACGGCAGAGGGAAAGGTAGATCCGTTCACTTGGCAAGTTCAAGCAAGTTCTATCTCTCTCTCTATATATATATATATATCTGTTCCTCTTCAACCATGCGCATAGAAACACAACGCACTGTCAAATGCGCAACTCGACTCGGACAATCGGACAATCTATATAATTTTGAAATCCTTGTTTCAAACCATGGCCGTGCACTCTGTCCTTGCTGTATGGAGCCCAGGCCAAGCCCTTCATCTCCTTCTTCAGGGGTTTGGGGAGACGATCCTTGGGAGCCAACTTCCATCCCTCAGGCATCACGGCAATGGCGCCAATGTTCATGGGGCCCTTGGAGCCATCAGCAAGAGGCTGGCGGCGCTTGGCGTACTTGGCTGGCACCTCAACCTCCATCTTGAAGATGGTGTCGGGGAGCACTGCCTGAGGAAGCCTCACCTCAATGGGCTTGCTGGCCAAATGGCAATTGGCGCACACGATCTTCCCAGTGTACTCACGAGGGTTGGCATAGTTCTGCTGGGCAAAAATTGGGTACGCAACAGCTGCCTCCATGGAGCTGGTGAACAGCATGGCGGCAGAAGCACCCGCCAAAGCCTGCTTGGCAAATGCCTGGATGCCCTCCATGTGCTTGTCAGTCTCCTCTGGGGTAGGAGCATCCACGCCATTAAGCTGCGCGCGGCAGGCCACCAGGTGGTCGCGGTAGTAAGTCCTCAGTACTGCAAGTCCCTGCCCTGCCATGCTGTTTCGAGATTGTAGGGCACGACTCCTGATGAAATCCCCTTTGTACATAGTTGGCCAATGTTGGCCAGCCCCTCTTAGCGCTCACTTCCAATCAATTCATGCGCACTACAATGGGGGCATGTCCCCAAATCCAACTCGCACGGGGCTCTGAAACCATGCCAAATCCCAATACATCAAGGTCTTGTTACCCACAAGGTGATGCCCCAGTTCGTTGGCTCTATTTCACAAACATTTTACTAGGCCTTGTGGCAGACTCGAACTGGTTAAAGGGTGTTAAAGGGGTATATGTGAACCAACTAACATAACTGGAGGGCACCGCATTGCCGGTGTGGAAATGCAGAGTTACTATACCAGTTTATGGCCAAAAGAATAAGGACAATGATGATTAACGAACCAAAGGACACAAGGATCGCAATTCAAATCTAATCCGATGTTGATTAAATACTATATATATACATCATTTATAACATTATACCGATTCTTCACCATGATGGGTATTGCCTACAATGCGGTGCCCCCCAGCTATATGTGTTGGTTTATAACCCCTATGGACTAGTTCGATATATCATGATATCTCTACCAACTACCAACTAGCAATCCCCACTTTGGTTCAATCCAAATCCATTCAAATCCCAATAGCATGGGTCCATTAGCGCCCCATTTTAGAATCCCTACCCTTCTGTAAACATCTGTAAACTAACATAGATGTGCAAAATCCACTGTTTGTAGGTTCTTTTCCTAGGGAAAACATGGCTTCTCCACATCTATGTTGGTTTATCCTGGGGATTTTTAGGGTAATCTCAAGAAATCCTCTTAAAAAACACATCCCTTCAACAGCCAATCAGCCAATCCAGCCCCAGCCCAGCCACTGGTCTTCCATGGAGCAGCCCACCATCACCGGCGCGCTGCGACGTGCCCGGCGTGTTTTTTGAGCGCCCGACACCGCGGCCAGGCCGGCCACTGCCACAGCGGTGCCGGCAGCACCTCGGAAGGCGAAGCTGGAGCTACGAAGGGAGGGCAAAACTATGCAAAACTACATGGCGGGATGGGGATTTATGATGATTTAATGATGATTTATGGGGCTACTCTCTCTCTCTCTCTCTCTCCCTCTCTCTCTCTCTCTCTTCATCGCCCCTTCTCGATGAGTTCATTTATGGGGCTACTGCTACTGACAGTTTTTTGGGTGGTATGTTTCTAAATGCGTTTAAGGAGCTACTGGTGAGATTTTAGTATTTTTTTAGCCGCCCTTGTTGTTTTAAACTAGAGACTAGAGATTAAGATGGTGCCATTGCTGGAATTTCAGCGTTTTACAACCAGGGCACGATTTTAAATGATTTTAATTAGGCGATTCCTAGGTGCGACCCCGTATTTGGCCGTTTCGACCCTTGATGCCTCTGATGAGCTTGAAGCAACAATGGAAGAATCCTTCATTTCAAATCATTTCAATAGATAGAGAGATAGTGAGAAAGTCATCTTTCCAGGATGTCAGCCATTCCACTTCCAGCCGCTTCTGTTTTCTGTCCGGAAATTCTCTGGGACAATCCAAGTTGGATCAGATTTAGCCAAGAGGTGCAACTCATCCACAAGGACCCCTCCCAGGCCCCACCTGTGGCACCATGTCCTAGTGCCGCATGGCTCCGTGTCGCAGCTCGCACTGTGGCGGTGGCTGTGGCGGCTGGGCTCAGGACTGTGAAGGCGCTGGAAGCTGCAAGATCCATGGCGTGCGACGGTGAGTGTTGCAGGTGCTGAACGCTAAGCCAACGCTGCGGAAGAACGCAGAGATGCTGCTGGAGCTTGGTAATATACAGTAATTACTTTTTTACTTAAGTATATGTTTCTATATTTACTTACAGTACCTTTACTGTATATGTAATATCATTTTAATATGAGGATTTTACCGTTTTACCATGTCTGTCTTACCACCAAAAATGGGAGCTTGACCAAGAATGATCATGGGGAATATCATCATCTTCCTACGCTGATGCTGCAATGGAAAAGCTGATCAATGCTTGAATCAACCAGACCATACCAAGCCAAGAAGAGAATTAGAAGCAACCAGTCATGATGATAATTTTAAAAAATCAAAAAAAGGAACATTTAATTATATAATATATGTATAGATGGCTCATGATGACTCTAATTATCTTGTATTACGCCTGGCTCTGTGTTTCGGAAAGATCCGCCCCTTGGCTGACCAGAAAAACCCGGAACTGTGTCATCTCGACACCCCAAAGAGACCTGCAGCGGAGACTGGGGGATCACTGAACACTTAACTGGGCCGAAAACCCTGCGGAGCGCGAGTCGGATGGTCTTTGGCAGATCTGGCAGGAATTTATGTGAACCACTCACTAGTGTTGACAATAATGTTGCAGCAGCGCAAGAAACATCACAAACCCAGACTTGTCTTCTCAGATTCCCGGTTCCATCGGGTCTCAGCACAGTATTTCAGGCAGTTTTCTCGCTGTTTCGCATCCCAAGCCACCTTGCTTGTGCAAGTGGCTCGCGAATGTTTGTGCTATGGCCGTGAGCATGTCTGCTGGCCAAAATTTTCAGCCTCTTCTAACAACACTAAGCGAGGGGTGCCAACTGAAAACATCAATTCAACATCTTGGCCAAACGTGGGGTGGTGGGCGTGTGCACCATTCCCAACTTGTTTCAGATGCTTTCCTCAATGCGCGGGTCGATATCCATCCTCCAGTAGCCTGCCGCATCTTCAAACAAATGGCAAGCTTGCAGGCCTCAAGATCCAACGGAGCCTTGAAAAGGCCAAGCTACAAAGTCTGACTACGATGTAATTCTAGGGGGGTAAGACCAAATCTAGTGGAGCAGAGAGTGTATACTTTTTGTTTCCTGCCTTGACACCCACAAAGCTGGTTTTCAAACACTTTGCAAAATCACCATGATCCTTCCTCCCTTGAACTCTTAGCCAGAGAAACTAGCTGTCCGAATTTGCGGAACCCGCCCGGACAACAATCTTGTGTTCGTTGTCCCGATGTGAAACGAGTTGTGGTGCGTTTCCTGGTCAAACTGGAAGTAACAGAGCGGGAGGAACACATTTCAGTATCGGGAATCTAAGCGTCAAAATGTGCGACGATATAACTGATTGAACCATCAAACACGTGGATTTATCATGATTTATCCAACACCTTTAATGGATACAAGTATGAGTCTGAGATAGTCTGAGTTTGTTCAACACTGGGTTTGCTCCAAAATTGCAAAACTGTCATGGGCAAAGTCACGGAAAACCATTGGATTTTAGCAGAGAGGATCAATGATCCTTCGCATGGTCGTGGAAAACCCACCCTTTGTAGATGATTTCCGCACGAGGACCCATGGGTTTCCACATCTATCTTGGTTTCACCTGGGGTAAATGGAAGATGATCTGCGCAGCATCCGCTTGTAAGTTCAAATGGGGTTCCAAAAAATCTGTGCTGAACATGATAGTATGATAACAGGGTCAGCTACTCTGCTCATTTCTGGGGATGTGCGTCCAGATTTCACATGTTACCGCAGGTTAATCACGCCTAAAATGACCGAAGCCACAGTTCAGAGATCCCAATGGGGCTTGGCTTAAAACGATGCCTATCCTCTGGAAAACAAACACGGCATTAAAAAATGCTCATGTCTATCCATAGGTAGATTTTTCACCTATCAAAAGTTGTCCATCCCCATTGATCCGGATCCTTCATCACCATTTGGCAGTGCCGGGTCGCCGGATTCTCCTGGCATGGCACTCTCTTCTTTTTCTTCCCCCTGATCGTCCTCCGCCTCGTCCTCATCCTCATCCTCATCATCATCATCATCACCACCAGCTCAGCACCAGTTGTTTTTTCGAGATCTTAGCTTAAGTTTCGTCATTTTTCATCCCTATATTACATTACCAGATTTCTCCCTACAAGCAGATTGTAAACAGGATTGGCCCGGCACAATTACACCAAGAACCAAAGTTGAAATCAGCAAATTTGGGAATTACTCCCTTTACTAATCATGGGATCTTGTCTGAAAATTGATTGTACCCCAATGGAATGGCCATGGCCATAAGCTCGAAAAAACATGGCCAGTTTCACCAGTGATTGAGTTGATTTCCCGGTAATTTCTAGACCAGCTAGGACAAAGCCATGAGCTCCGCTAGTGACGCACTTTCCTAAAGGGTTTTTCAGTGGTCAGGAGCACCTGGCCAATGATGCACTACCAGGCCGTTCGCGTGGTTGGCAGTGGCCAGTGTCGTGAAAGTCCTAGGGCCCAGGGGATCTATAAAGGCCCCAAAACTTCCGGCTTCGAAACCTGCCAACGTAGGTTGTGGCAGATCTTCCACATGGTTGTGAGTCAAAACCCTGGCACCCAGATGGTACCTAAAATAGCTGGTTAATGGATGTTGATTCTTCCAAATATGGTAATAATATGTAATAATAGGGTTTTGACCCATCCCCACATTCTGATTCCAAACGTCCCAAAGCAGCAGCCATCATCAACCCCTGTCAGAATGATAGAGGAACACTCCTGGCATCTCAGGGCATGCGGGTCCTTGTAGGTTGTGTTGAAACTCCACCCGTCCTCCCAGATGCAGACTTCCCAAGGGTCCCAAGGTTTATGCACATCTTTGGTAGTCTCCACTCGTTTGAATCACCTTTAGTCATTTCACTCACTCTCTCTCTCTCTCTCTCTCTCTCTGCGGGCCTATCTAATTCATTGTAATTCTATAGGATTGAGTCCGTAGACATTTGGAACCGGAATCCAGGTGTGCGTGTCAGTCCTGAGAAAACTTTCCCAGGAAAGCCATTGTGCGCAGTTAGCCATGATTTAAAACACGAGTATCAGGCCAAATTCCCACTCAGAACCCCAGGTTTTCCTCTCCCCGGCCACCTCATGGACCCACTTGACACCACCAACCGCGTCCTTGGGTGGAAAATAGGAACAATTACAGGATACTACGGATTAACTGGTTCAGCTGTTGGTAGCGGTGAATGTATTCCAATGTACCCAATATATCCAATATCCCGATATAACTAGTCTCACCAACTTAACTGGTTTCATCGACTCTACACCATCTGTTCAAAAACAAATATGTTCCATTTCAATCATCTAATTTTAATCATACTGTATCTCCATCCTGGCTAGCTTCCCCTATGATAGCCTGATTCTGGCTGGTCCCATCGTATACCCATCATGGTTGGTTTAATGTAAACTGCTTGCTGGCAGAGTTGAAGTGCAATTGGGCCGTGTTTTTTTTCCTTGCTAAACTGCAATACACAAATTTGGACACCTACGCACGGCCTAAGCAAACCACTCCTCCCATGCAAAACTGCCTACGAGAGGGTTACCTTTCAAGAAATGCCTACGCCCCCACGTGGTTGCCTCCGCGAAAGTTGCTGCAACGATCTTTAAACTTGACGCGATGTGGTCACGATTCTGGTTCAGAAGAGTAATACTAGTAGGAAGAATTGGAAGATGACAATTCTTTGGGTGACATGCAAAAGGGAGGCGGAAGCTTCATCAAGCGTGGAGCACTTTGTCATGATGTGATCGGCAGTCTCAGTGGCTAGCTTTCTGCGATATTTCTGTGTGAAGTCATTCCACGTTTTGTGGAGGGATGACCTTCGAAAAGCTTTGGATGGCTACGGGCCACAATTTGACCTAGGGCCTGCGCGTTTCCCACGTCAGAGTCTACGCGGAGCCTACGCGAAAGTCCGAACCGATTTTTTTTTTTTGAAAACTTGGCACTGTCATTTTCTGAAAAAGCGGTTGCTGCTTTAATCTCCCCTTTCTTCCAGCTAAACATATTCTGAATCATACAATCCAGTTTGCATGCAAAATCATTGCAACCCACCAAGAAAAACAAGATTCCAAGGTCAGAAAGAAACAATCTAATTATATAACATTATCCTACGTTGTCCTACACAGCCTCTCCTACGCCTACGCAGGACCTACGCACCAAGCACAATAGCCTACGCATGAATAATGTGAGTTCCTCCTCAATCAAACTCCATCATCTGGAGAAAAAACGTTGCTCAACTCCGCCTAATAGGAATGGGTAATCTCTCTGACCCTCAATTTGCCCTGCACTTGCTGACATTTCCTGGGAACAGTTAAGGTTGACTGACAATAGCCGCACCTGAGCCGTTTGGGTCTCGAACCAATTCAACACAAATTGAAATAGATACGGGTTTGCCTAAAAATCTGTTGCTGCGATAATTACCAATAAAAATTATCAATATTTATCACATGTCATGCTTGATCACCATGTGCCCATTGAATTGCTTATGAGCCGGTTTGGGGTAGATAAACCTATAGGGTATTTCTTCAGCATGACGCTGCTTCCCCGTGAATAGATTGAATAGGTCAGTCAGAGTGCCGCAGCGAAGCATGATTTGACGTAAACGAGCGAGTAAATGTAGATTGACCATGTCGAATTCATGGTCAATCAATCCTAGAGAGAATCAAGTTTTTCAAGTTCTGGCAGCCTGGCAATCCTGCCTGTTCGGTTGATTAACCACCATCTTTGGTTATCTTTTGGTATAACATAGCTCAACCCCATCATGGTGAAGTCCCCGCGGTGTCCCTGTCCTTGAAATATATATCAAAACCATAAGGATTTTTTACCGTTTTACCATGGACTTAACCTATAAATGGAGGTTTCCTAGAATAAGGCTATCTCAAATCATCCATGTTAAATCAAGTTAAATCGATTTTCCATGAAATAACTCATCCATTGGGTATCCCCATTGTACGAAACCCCTTTCTGACATCCCTAATCTCGCCCAAAAAATCGGGCCGAAGCACATGGTTCTCGCACCATCCGGTGCCACCACCCAGACGGTACTTGCTTGGTGGAACAGGCGAACGCTCCTGGTGCGGCATGGGTGGTCCAGGTCATTTGGTTCACCATGGGATTCAAATGGGATTTCATGGGGTTTACGGTAATATGGGGCTTTGTATGCAATTTGATATCCCATAGGATCCATGTATGCTATATATGATGACATTTACCATGAATATACCCCAAATGTTAGCATATATACCATACATGGATCCTATGGGTATGGAATTTGATATGGAAGATTAACTCTGCTAAGCGATTTGATATGGAGCCCTTTATTTCGTAAGCATGCACAAAGCCGTGCAAACCCAACGAATCCAACACTATGCGGTTTGGACATTGACGCGCCATTTTGGCGTTTATTTTTTGGTTGCCACTTTCAAGAAACCCACAGGTCTTACTCTGGTTGATGGTTCCAGTTGCAGCACATCCCAAACAAAAGAAAGCCTATTTATTTCTATCATTTTCTATCTATTGATCTTTTAGGGATGGAAACTATATGAAACTATGGCAAATGTGTGAAACCAATAAACTGCTTAATCTCCAAGTTGGGCATGTCATGGCATGTCTTCGGGGTCACAGAGATGCCCACCTCTCACCATTCGCCAGGAACACATCTGGTAATGGCATGTAACCCCATATAGTAATTTATAGCACCCCATAAGGGGCCCTGGATCTGAATAGATCCAGTACTAACCCAAGGTTTCTAGCGAGTACCCTCTGGTAATTTAACAGTTTGCTATTGAAAATCACCATAGAAATAGTGGATTTTCCCATTAAAAATGGTGGATCTTTCCATAGTTATGTTAAATTACCAGAGGGTATGTAAAAGAATCGCTACCCCTCGACCGCCCCCTTGGACCGCTCCAGATCAACCTTTCGATAGCGTCGCTGGGAGTAGTGGACCAATACCTCGATCCATTTCGATGGGCACTGAAAAACAAATGGTGCAGGGGTAATATGGATTATATATGGATAGTTGTATATGGATAGTTATATATGGATTATATAATAATCCATAGGGGCACTTATCCTATGGATGGTCCATAATTCCGCCGTGACGGGAATCCATCTGGGACCATTTTGCGCATATTCGTCCTAGCTCACCAATGTGACAAATGACCAGGGATGTGAAACCCTTCATCGGAAGCACTTGTGACCCACTATCCCCAGTACAAACAACAAACAAAGGAGATCAAAGACCTTCAAAAATGCCACTGCGAAACGAAAAACTTACCCCATGTTGCTCCTCATCCTGTAACTACAAGTGAATGCGTATGCATGCATGTATGAGAAAAGACTTATGAACTGCATGTCTATATAGAAGTATACATACACGCACATCTTATTGTTAATATTATCATTATAATATGTTACCATTAGTGTTATTAGTGTTATGCACACACATATATATATATATACATTGTGTAATATATATATATACACAATATATACTGTATATATATATATCCCGGCCACACAGATCTTCCAGACCTTCCAGGCCCGCTGTTTTTTTTTGGAGATCTCCACCCGCCCGGCTGCCGATGCCGCGCTCTGCCGCGCTGCTGTGTTGGATTCCAACTCCGGGGAATAGCGCGGCAGATCCGGTGGATGCGGATAGAACTGGGCACCGGGACCTGGATCCACCGCGCAGCAGGTCTCTGAAAAAAGCCCCATGGTTGGTATCCCATGGTGATGGGGATTCTGGGGTTCAATAGCAAACCATCCCCAATTTTACCATAGAAACTGGTAGAAACTGGTAGAAACCATGAAAATCTCTGGGTAAATTTGATCTGAACCCTGTTCTCCCTCAGGAATGATGGTTAGTAGGGGTATCCCCAAAATGACCTTATTTCAGGTTAGTGAATTATTGTAATTTATCCAGATCATTGATTACCTGGAAAATGCATGAAAATGCATGAGATAAATGGATGGTAAATGAGATGGAAACCATCATAGGGATGAGATAAATCTAAGAATCTAACATCACCTATTAGCGAATGATGGAAATGGATGGAAATGGATGGGCATGGGAGATGGCCTATTGCAACAAGCTGGCGATGAAAAGACAACACACAGTGGATGATATTTCTCATGATGTCCCTGATCGCTCACTGCCATGTTAGATAGCCGGAAGATGCCAATTTAGTCGAGAAATAACAAAGATTTGAAACCATCCAGCCAAAACAAACATAAAATACATGTTGATCTGATGATTTGCGTCATTTTCCATCCCCAAATCCTGAGAAGCCTTGGGCCCTTGGGACCCTTGGGCCCTTTGTTACTTTGGTGGTTCCAGAAGCTGCTCTTCATCACAGCTTCCCAATGTGACCCAAGGTGACCCATGGCTCCCAACAGAGGTTGTGAAAATGCGGTCCAGACAAAGGTCGGTAGCCAAACGGGCCAGTCGCCTGGGTGGAAATCTGTGGAAATTGGGGGGGAAAACCTATGGAAATCGGATTTTAAATCTGTAGCTTTTCTGAAAAGGCTTTCTGTGGTATGATCCCATCCAGACCAAGGCCAAATCTGTTGATCCAAACAAGAAAATCATATCCATTGTGGCTTTCTTATAGCTTTTTTTCTTGATCCCATCCAAACTTGTCTGGCTGCGATGGCTTGGCCAGCCCTGGCCCCTGTTTCTTCAACAGGCGAAATGCTGCCACTGAACAGCTTTGAGATTGTTTGTGTGTGTATGATTATTATGAGATAATTAGGGGTAATTATTGTTTATCAATAGGGTAATACCAAACTTTGTGTATCACTATTCGCATGAGTAAAATGAAAAATCCCAAAGTTGCAACTCATAGCAACATGTTGCAAAGGATGGCACACACACACAGATATACACATGCAAATTTAGATGAATATAAATATTGCACTTCTCCCAGAATTTTAAAGGTGTCCAACGTTTCTATCTTTTTGATGAGCCACAACTTTCTCGCGCCTTGGTCATCTTGTCCAGGTACAGAGGTGGGATTATGTCCTGCCAAGGCAAGAGAATGATCTGAAAGATTGGTTGGCACCAAAAATATCGGGGACTTTAGCATCCTTAGCACCTTTAGTTCGAGGTTTGGTACCTATTTTTTGTTGTTTCAACAGAGATCAACAGAGTTGATAAATGGGTTGGCATATGTTGGGGGTTGAACATGATCAACCAATGGTTCGGTGGTCGGGGTTGGTGGATCTTGTGGCAAGAAAAAAGCTAGTGACAAACAAGCCTGGGTTATATATGTTATATCATATCAGTCTACGATTCCAAAATGGAGAACCCAAACAACCTGTCCATCATTACTTGAACGTGGCTGCCAGCAAGTGTGAGGAACCACCTCTCTGCACTGTTTGGATGAGGTCATTGCCCATCTAGCCTCAACAGGCCCCAGACCATTCCTCACCTGCACCTCACGAATCAGCAGGGCTCGACACTTTGACAGGTTGACACTTGGGGCATGGTCCTGTTTTGGAAGAACTCAAATCTGCAAATCTGCAAGGCTATGTCTTTGTATCATTCCTCCAAACTGATGCAGGCATCGTTCCAGTATTGAGGATTGTTCATTGATTTGGTGTGATTCAATCGTTCGCAGCTCAAAGAAAGCAACCCCCCCAAACGACATCTGTCGCGTATTTGGCCCGTGCCCCCGAATGTAGGAAAGCATTCGGATCATTCCATGGCCATTTGATGGGGATGAAAAATATTCGAAACCGCCAGCCAATCCTACATACCGGATGAAGTATCTGGATGGCACTTACATATACTTTTCACTGGGCGCATCATGTTCAACCCACCAACTAGTTATAGCCACCCAAAAAAATAGGCTTGAAAGCTCTAAATTGGAAAGTTATCAGCCCAAAAGCATCTCTCTCATTATTTATAACATCCTGAAGCAACGGGTACATACAAGGGGCCAAAAAATTGCTCATTTGACCTACCCTCTGGTAAACTAACATAGCCATGGAAAATCACCATTTTTAATGGGAAAACTCACTATAAATGGCCATTTTCAATAGCTATGTTAAATTACCAGAGGGTACATATTTACTCCAAAATACCACCCCCAAAGGGAGAAAAACCAAGTCTGGGCTTCCCTGCGGGCCGCTGCGGGCGGAGACGTGGCGGGTTGGGCCGCCGAGCGGCGGCTCCGGGTCCGTCTTTGGGACCCGGAGCCGAGCTTCGGGAACTCATCACCTGGTGGCGGTCGGATTTTTTTGTTGGGAAGATCGCAAAAAATGGATTGGTTTCCATCTGGTTATGACTAACAGTTCGCCATGGAAAGATCCACCATGTTTAAGAACGGTAAACCATCTATTTCTATGGGCCATCTATACCATGGCTATGTTAAATAACCAAAGGGTTAAGGGAACATCTACAGGAAACCATCGATTTTCCCATGAACTATGGCGCTTTCCGGTGAACATGTTCCCTGAAAAACCAGGGGACACATCCAGACACCATGGATCTGACCGTCAGGCCGCGGCGGCAAGCACGGGGCGAGTTTGAGTCAGAGACATCCTGATTTTAAAAGAGCATTGTGAACACTCAAGCACCTAGTTTGCAAAGATTGTTGTTCATTTCCTTTTGGAAAAAAATGTTGCCATATGGAGCCCATATGGATCTCTCCAAGCTCTTGGGCGACAACAAATCCTGGACAAATCTGGATACAAGAAGAGATTAAATCCTACAACCTATCAACTGCTGTACTGCTGTACTGGACCTTTGGCACGATCCCCAATAATAATGTTGAAAGAACTTGTACATTTGTTCTGGTTGGGCTGGGATCTTGTTTCCATTGATTGCGTGTACTAGAGGCTGGTTCTTTGGGACATAGGATTGCACCGTTGTCATGATCCCAATCACCGCCATCATCATTATATATACCATCTGGTTATTTAACATAGCCATGGAAAATCCCTTATAAATGGAGGTTTTAATGGGAAAATCATCTATAAATGGGCCATTTTCCATGGCTATGTTAAATAGCCAGAGGGTAATATTATGTAATATACTACAGTAGGTACTAGGTTTGTGGTTTCAGATCATCCCAGATTTCACAAGTGAAACAAGCATCAGTGTCACATCTTACTGTGATATGTAAAAATACACATTGGCAGAGACACGAATGTGAAACACATCACATCACATCACCAAGGATATGATTAATGGTTGATTGGCTGCAGCATCTTCCCTCCTCTTTCCAAGAGATTAGACAATTTGAGTAAAGTGGTAAACCCTAGCCGCCATAAACCTACCATGACTGGGGATGGTTGGAATCCCACCCATAAGAATGGTGATTTTGATGATGGTTTAATATGTTTAATTGTGGCCATTGGATCCCACAACAACCCATCCAATTGCCTGTCGGCCTCCGGAGCCCACAGATACGAGGTGAGAAGCAGAAACGCTGCGAGGGGTGACCGTGGCGTATTGTCGGACATTCTGACATTCTATCCGGCATATATCATGAATTATCTGATGTGTATTTTGACATTCTATCCGAAACACACATTTATATATATATATCATTATATCATATCTGCCACACCCGCGAGCTCGCCAGAGTGGTCCCCACACTAGATAGACACCTAGCTGATGGTTTCTAATGCAACTCCTTTGAAGAACGTGAGTCCTTTCTCAGTCATCATTTCGAATCGGGACACAGTTTGATCCTAGTTTTATGTCATTCCTTCCTGTGGATTTCGGTAGTGAAAATGAAATCCAGACACATTCTGGCACTGAAACCAGCCGAACAAACGGACGCCCTGTCCCATGATTTCCCAACGAAGCCAATCGTCTGATGTCGTCTGCACAGCTGCAACCATTTTTTTTCGCATCAAAAAAGCAAGGTTGGGCTAGGCTGATTCCAACCCGTTTCGGGGGAGAAAGGGAGACCTGTTTTCAAGAGATCTAAGTGATGGATCCAACACTTGAGCTGCAAAAACTGCCACATGTCATGCACTATTTGTTAAAAAAAAAAACGGTGTGTCATATATATATATATATATAAAAATAATATATTATAATATAATTTACAATAGCGATAGTACTACTATCAGAGCCACCACATTTGCCAGTGTAACCCAATCGAAGCTCACTTGACTCCCCAAGACTGTTGAAACCCAGCCCGGGAAAAACCTTCGAGTGCATGTGACTCTCATCACCGCGTGCCGGTGCACGAAAGTGGAACATGACCCCAGCAGCTCCCGGGGTTATAGATCCAGGTTTGGCATGACATGTATATAATTATATATATATAAATAATTATATATTTATATATATATAATTATAACTATATATATAATCATATATATAAGCCAAGAGGCGCAGGAAACTGGAAGACTACATATAGTAAGTCAGTATAAATGCATGCACATATATAATAATACCCTGCATTTGAAAATTACATAATTACCCTGATAAACCATGTGCAGTATATATTACAAACTATATATGGTCATGAGTCATTAGAGCTGAAACGCATGGCTTCTCCAGGATGGCGTTTGGTTTCCAGGAGCAAATTGCTGTGTCCACCCAGTGCCCCAACACTGCGTTCGGCCATGCGCTTCCAAAAAAAAGACGAACTGAAGCGTGGACCCCGTTTAGCACCAGGCTGGGTGGTGGAAGATGCTGCCGATGACAAATGAGGAACTCAAAAATAAAACATTGTTAAGATAAAGTTGAAGCT